TGAAAAGTTGTCATTTTGAAAAGACAAAGTCACCTTTCACATTTTAAATGTGGAGGGTGATTTCACGTTGAATGTTCTAAAACACCATTATGTGAGCCGATTACTCAAGAGTGAAGTAATTTCAATTGTTTGTGTAAAGTATTCATAGAATAATTTTGTGAATCCGTTAACTGATAGTCGAGACATGGTTGTTAAGACTTCAAAAGGAATGGGACTATGGTTTAAGATAGTTCAATTACCTTTCAACAACCACCCAACCTAAGTCTTGACAATATATAGGCAAGGTTCAATATGGTACAAATAAGTCAAAGAAGTCCGAATTCTATTTTCTAGTATTCATTTCCGACAATATAAAAGATGATGAGTATTGCACTCTTAACAAATCTCTGTGTTAATTGTTATGGTACGGTGATAGACTGCGCAGGATCGTCGATGACTTTACGCAGGATCGCTCTTTATGGAATATTAACAAATCTGTGTGTTAATTGTTATGGTATGGTGACACTCATGAAATTGAGATACTGCATATGATCATTAATGTGCGTTTTATGGAACACTTAAGTTTTAATAAGAAAATAGTGTGTGTGATAAGTCAGGCTTGTCTTTAAGAGTTTAATGGTTCAAGACATAAGTTCACCATTGTATTTTGACAAAGTTTTGATTTATTTACAGAGGTTCAAACCCAAAGGTAACTTCATTTATGTACATTTTCAGGATAATACCATCTTTAGTTTATTTTCTTTGAATAAAAATATTTTAGAACACATTTTTTAAATTAATTTGAAAATAGAGTAGCAATGTTGGAAATATATGAAATATATTTTCAAATCTATTTATGAAATACTTTATTATATGTTAGTGTTTAAATTAAAAAATGGTGTCTTATATGAAAAGACATAACTTTTCGATAAAAAAAAAATAGTGCCTTTTATGAAAAGACATAACTTTTCAAAATAATTACATACATAATTTTTTAATTGAAAATGTGTGTCTTTGAAAAAGAAAAAGAAAAACACAACCTTTCTAGAAAGTCACATTTCATGTCAAGAGTAATTTTCTCTTTAACACTTGTTGCACTTGCTTTATGGTAAGGGGCCGGAGAAATTTCACTTCCTGGAGTCAATCAATTAGGTCATAGGTCCAAAAGCGCGATTGCTATCCAACAGAATGTTGTGGGGCTATTGAATATATGTCAATATTACAAATGACACAGAGTGATATTCAAATATAAGATATAATGAAATATCTATCAAAAATTATTTTTTTTTGTGCTCTCTGACTTGTATTTATAGTCTCAGACTTTTACCAGAGTCTCAAAGTCCCTCAAGATTACAAAACTTCGAGACTCCGCTTTAGTAGCGCATTTTGGTCTTCTAGCTCGAAGATATGTACCATTACATTAAATGCGCATCTTTTCGAAGGTGACGGTAGTTCAGATTCATTAATATGATTATCAGTGGTGCAGTCGAGACACGTAAACTCATCATTCGCCTAACTACACTTATTAGTTGGACGGACTTTACTTGTCGAGGCATGTGGTATCATTGATGATACCAGACTCGAGCCCAAACCGAGTGACGTGACGTGTGCCACTTGGCCTAGTGGGCTAAATCCCCTACAAACGTATCATTCACCAATATAATAAAAATTACTAAAAGTCATCTTCCTTAAAAGGTTATATATATATACACGGAGGGAATACATAACAAAAAAATCATAAGAGGTGCAAGTGTAATGATCATATAGACCATGAGACTCGTGCGGTCGATAGAAGAAAAAAACAATCCTTACACAACCACGATTGCACCTAGCATATTCCTCTTTGGTGAATAAAACTATAATATTAAGAAAAATACCCTAATTGAAAGTGAATCGACTTCTCTGTAGGTCTTTGATCGAAGAATTAGAGAATTTCCACTTGCCTTGCTACCTGAGTAATATCATAGAAGACTACAGAGTCACACAGATCGATCAACATTTACCATTATAAAAATGACAACTTCTATGTATTTATTTTAACTATATATACTCAAGTGTACAACGTTAACTGGTAAACAAAGACTTCAATTTAGCTTTTGTCGAGGAAGATGCCTTTCCTCAATAATAAGCCCCGTCACTGGATCTCAACGCGAAATATAAAACACGTCCCCGAATCTAATGTGGCTGGCAACATCGTTCATTTTAAAAAATAGAAGGAGTTTTCCTAATGCAAACTGAAAGGGGAAAAAATAAAATAATAAAAAAAAAAAAAAAAAAAAACAAAAGATTGCCTGTTTTCTCTTTCTTCACAAATTGGGAAACTAAAAGTCTACACAGCTAGTGTGAGAGAGAGAGCTCTGTTACAAATCACTTCAAGGAAAATAATTCAAAACTTTATGATCTTTTGAAGTGGTGGGTTTTGCGTCTTAGGTAATGGTTCATTAATCTATAATTTGTTATGTATTTCAATTTAGAATTTCGATAATGAAGAAGAGAGGGGAACAAATAACATACAGTTTACAAAATTAAAGAACATAACTAGAGATTTGCACATAAATTAGGGTTTTGATATGTAGTAGAGGTCTCTAGGGTTTTGAAATTGTAAAATCAATAGCATTACCTCCAAAACCCAGCGCATTTTTTTTTTTTTTTAATTTTATTTTTATGAGTTACCGAGTTTGTGAGGGAGGAGAATGACTCTATTTTTCTTTCTTTTTTTATTTGTATTTTTTTCCATTTTATTATACCAAAACTTTTTTTCCTTTTAATTATTTGACGTGGAACAGCCACATCAGATTCGGAAACTTTTGGCATTTTATATTTCGTGTTCCCTATCATTTTCCTTATTTAAAAATTTTACTTTTAAATATATTTTGTAATTATTAAAAATATTATTAAATGATACAGATTTTAGCTCAATATAAATTTTTTAGGGGTGATCATGAATCGGATTAAACTAGGCATCAATCCTAATTCGATTCACTCCCATCCGCCATCGATCCGTTATCCCATTGATCGGATCCGTATAATAACGGATTGGATCGGATTGAATCCGTAGATTGAATTTTATCTAAATTATCCATTATTATTATTATTATTATTATTATTATTATTGTAATTAATATTATTTATAATTTATTTGTCTTTTAAATATAACCCAATAGATAAAATTTTAATTTATTTATATATTTAAATAATTATTAACTACTATATTATTTGAATATATATATATATATATGTATATATATATATTTCACGGATCGGATCGGATTTTTAACAGCTCACTCTGTGAGTTCGGATTCGATTTTTTTGAATCCGCCATCGATCAGCACAATTCAAACCAAATAAGATCGGATCCACGAATTATTTGTCCACCACTATTTATATCCATGAATTAATATCATTTATTTATTCTTTTTTCTTGGACGGCTAGCCCTCCGGATCCCAAACAAGGACCAGGTGCTGATTGGTGTCCCATTTTGAATGCCATTGTTGCACAAGAGATTCCAGCCATTAAATGGATAATAAATTCAGGCACGCAAACACAATCAGTAAGACTTGCTTGAGAGTGAAAAATTTACAAGCGGCTGACAAAACCTCTATGGCTCACAGAATTAAAGAGTACTAATTTGTTATAACTATTGTTTCACAAGATTTGAACTTTAAAAGTAAGGTTAAACAACTTCAAATTGGAATTTTTTATAAGTTTTGGGAGAATACAATTTTAGTTTATTTACGAATCAATTACTCCATTTGTAGCTAGGTCCATGAGAACAGAGAATCTAGTCATATATATTTTTTAGCATTTTCCAGATATATAAAGCAAGAGAGAGCTCTCTCACTAGACACCAAAACTTTATTTTTCTTGATAAGTCACTAGACACCAAAACTTTATTTTTCTTGATAAGTCACTAGACACCAAAACTTGTAGAGAGAGAGAGAGAGAGATGGGCAGCAACACAGTCTCAGAGCCAAAATCATGTCCCATGAACGGCGGAGATGGCGTACACAGTTACATGAAAAACTCGAGCATGCAGGTATCTTACAAATTAGCTACATGAAAAACTCAACGTCTCTCTCTCTCTCTCTCTCTACATATGCATGTGTGTGTGTTCATTGTGTTCATAATTTTTGTATACTAGCTAGGGTGCATGCTCCTGTCTCTCTCTCTCTCTCTCTCTCTTCTCTCTCTCTACATATGCATATATATATATATATGTTCATTATGTTCATAACTTTTGTATACTAGCCAGGGAGCATGCTCCTATCTTCTCATGCTCCTATATGCATGCTAAGAGCACAAGAGGCTGAACTTCAATTTGCCATAACTTTTGTATACTAGCCAGGGAGCATGCTCCTATCTTCTCATGCTCCTATATGCATGCTAAGAGCACAAGAGGCTGAACTTCAATTTGCATGGTCAGCACATCATCAATTTACAATATAAATGTACATACACACTCACAGGAGTACTTGTATTGCAGCTACATATATATACCAACATATATATATATATATATATATAAACGTATATGAAAAACAAGAAAAAAAATAAAAACCGACAAACATAGCAAAAAATAAAAACCAACAAACATAGCGGAAAAGTCTATACGTTGTTTCACATAGGACGGAATGCAAGAATACTTCCAACTTGGGTTGAACTCTTGTGAACTGGCGCGATCTACAAATTAAACCAATATATATATTTAATGTCTATGGAATTTAAATATTTGCTGCATGTTCAAGCATCATGTGATTGTAAATTTTGTAATATATATACATATCAAGTTCGATGCAAATTGTTAGTATACTAATTCCATTTGCTTTAAACAAACTAACATTATACCATAAGTCACTTAATTATTAACAGTTCTAACAGCTATATTCACTTCCTTTTTTCATGTTTGTACTCTGCTAAATTAATTCTACAGGTGCTTTAATGTCTAAATATGTGTTTTACATGTCTCAAGAAACTGAAACAAGCAAATTTGAACTGTTCTGCAGAGAGAAGCTTCAATAATCGCTAAGGCGATGATTCATGAGTCAATCGCCGAGAAGCTTGACATTGAAAAATTCTCTCCCACTTCAAACACATTTCGGATTGCAGATTTGGGATGCTCAGTCGGACCAAATACCTACATTGCCATGCAAAATATAATAGAAGCCGTGGAAGAAAAGTACAAATCCAAAGGCCTCGAGTCTCAATTACCCGAATTCCAAGTGTTCTTCAACGATCATGTCACAAGTGATTTCAATACCCTCTTCACCTTCCTCCCTCCTGAGAGAAGATACTTTGCCACAGGTGTGCCAGGTTCTTTCTATGGCCGCTTATTCCCCAAGTCCTGCATCCACATTATGCATGCCTCGTACGCACTCCAGTGGCTTTCCAAGGTGCCAGAGGAGGTAGCAGACAAGGATTCTGCGGCATGGAACAAGGGCAGGATCTATTACTCGAGTGCACCAGTTGAAGTAGCAAATGCTTATGCAGCTCAATATGCCAAGGACATGGACAACTTCTTGAACAACAGGGCTAAAGAAATTGTGGCTGGAGGGATGTTGCTGCTTATCATGATATCTAACCCAGATGGTATTCATCGTTCTCAGATGGGATGCGGTGTGATGTATGATAAAGTGGGATCTTCCCTCGTGGATATGGCAAAGGAGGTGAGTTCGAAACATATCTATATATGATTAGATCTGTCCTCGGATAACAGAAAACTATTCCCAAAAACCTGAAGCAACTAGGCCATAAAACGTTGTAGTATAGAGGTAGTTTGTTATATATGGACACTTATTGTTGGTCTTTGTGACAGGGTTTGATAAGTGAAGCTCAAGTGGACTCCTTCAACTTGCCTGTGTACACTGCCTCTCCCAAGGAGGTGATATGCCTGGTAGAAAGAAATGGGTGTTTTGGCATTGAGAGAATGATGACAACGCATCCACAGTTGAGGAATGATGACAACGTGGATGAGCAAATATGTAGTATGAGCATGAGGGCTGCGTTGGAGGGACTCATAACAGAACACTTCGGTAGTGAGATAATCGACGAATTGTTCGACCGATTTCATAAGGAAGTTGCTGGGTTTAATCTAATGGACTCACGTCATAAGAAAGGAATCCTGCTACTACTTGCTCTGAAGCGCAAATGATGCAACTTTGGAGTCTTGAAAATGAACTGGTCAAGTTTCGTAGTGCAGCTAATGCATACTAAACAATGAACAGCACGAAACTGAATTATGGCTTCAACTATGGTGAGAACTTAACTTCTATTGTATTGTAAGTCCTCTTTGACAGTCAATCAATATGATGTCTTCTAAATGATATGTTTAAATATGTATGATGAAAGTAAGTTTTTGAATTGAATGCTTATTGGAATAAACCCTAGTCATGCTGTATGTTATGGTTCTATATTATGCAAGGGGCAGTTTCGTATGTAATTCATAAAAATTGACAGGAAAATGAAAACGAATAAGGGAATTTGCTAAGTGGGGCATTTTCAGGAACTGTTTGAAAAAGTTCCTGAAAACTGCCCGACTTCAGGGAGCTATTCCCCAAGTTTTGCAATACTTCTAGTCCGTTGGAAAACGAAACTTGAAAATTACCATTCTATAGAAATTTCATCATCTTTATTTCCCAAAAATCAGAAGCAGAAATGGTAAAATAAAGCCATTGATGATAAGAGAAATGAATAGCTTACATGATATGGTGTACAGAATTTCGTTTCACAAGCCTAGCTTGGAGCCAGTTGCAATTGGTTGAGTGGTACCGAACTCCCCACACTGCATGATGTTGATCATAACTCACAAGATACAATAGTAAGAATACTTGCCTGCTATATAAATTTATATATATATATATATATATATATATATATATATATATCTTTTATTTATTAATATTGTGATTCAAACGTCTTTAAGAATGCAGTTATGAGATTTAAAGCCCATAAATGTGATGAAAACAATAAAAACTGGCCTAAGGAGAACAAGAACCATATCATCTATTAATAGGACTCATTACGACAACCATGAAAAGTAGTTAGAATATTTTAGGATAGTGGCACATTCATATTTCACCATAACATGGTCAATTACTATATATATATATATATGTGCATGGATGCATGTATGTATAGGGAGCCGCTGTCTCGGCTCAAAAGGTTGTATGCAGTATGCACACTCCTTCCTATCACATACGTGTGACCCAAGTATGTTACAAGTGCTGTAATGTAACCCTTTAAGATGATCAAAGTCTATAAACAGCATAAGATCACCCAAAGGTTGTATCTCTCAAAGTGAACATTTGAGAGTTTAAGTCTCCATGGGAACAAAAATTTAATACGTTGAGTAATGCCAAAGCATTTCGCAAGCCTACACAGGGGTCACCATCCGGAACATGTTTCGACACATATCCTTTCACCTTTCACTCGTTCAAGAGTCAATGCAGCATAATGCTCATAAATAATACAATTATTCAGAAAATCCTCCAGTTGGTACAGAACTATTTTAACTAAAAAAAAACTGCAGAAAACATTTCAAATGGAACATGCAACTACAATTAAAAAAATACGCTAAATGAAATGCTCAAATTTGTTTTCTCCTCTGAAAACACTTTTTCTCACTAGATAAATATTTCAAAAAACGAAAACTGACTAACAGAATCAAATCTGAACTACAGCAACATCTCTGCAACCTGAATGGCATTAAAAGCAGCTCAATTCACCTCATGATCAGAATCAAATCTGAACTACAGCAACATCTCTGCAACCTGAATGGCATTAAAAGCAGCTCAATTCACCTCATGATCAGAATCAAATCTGAACTATAGCAACATCTCTGCAATCTGGACAGCGTTAAGAGCAGCACCCTTACGTATTTGATCACCACAAACAAAGATGTCCAACCTGTTACAAATGTCTCCATTTAGTTGAAGGGTTTTAAAGAGATTAATGAAAGATCATGCGTAGAAACAACCGCCTATTAGTTAATTTTTACCCATAGTTTCCGTCTTGGGACACGTCATGGCGTATCCTGCCAACTGCAACATCATCCTTGTTTGAAACTCCCAATGGGGTAGGAAAGTGATTGGATGCACGGTCATCAACAACAACTACTCCAGGAGCATTCAACAGAATTTCTCTTGCCGTGTCCTGGACAAATAGCATAAATATAAAAAAGTGTATGTCATTCTGAGAGAAAAAGGTGAGCAAGAGAATAGCTTTCTTTTGGAGGTTTTAGTTGTGAATTGTGACGATGAATGAAATATAAACATAAGTGAATTATGCTGGTGTAACTAAAATCAATAATCAAATGACCAATTTGGGATGAATATTATAACATTAACACAGACCTTTACAGTATTTTACCCCATTAAGAAAAAGTACACATAATAAATATATGGTAGAAAAAATAGCAATTTAGCTCCTATGGAAGGATGACATGTCGTTTGATGTAACTGAAGGGGTGCAATTCATTTTGGGATGCTATGTTTCACACTCAACCAGAACAGAGCTTGCCTAAGTTAGTTCTTTCAAATAAAATCCGAACAAAAGCAGAAGGCAGATAGAAACCAAAGTTTTCCCGCTTAGAACTTTAATGTTCAAAACTTTCTAAACTTTAGACACATCACAGAGTGCAATCGGATTGGCGAGCCCACTAATCTTGGCTAGCAGATGGGGTCTTCAAAGGCGGGGTCTTTATGTCTAAGAATTACCATGCAAAAAGATCGAATTGAGACAGGATCAAGGGTCATCCTAAACCAATCCGTTAAGCAAATTTTTCAATGCAATTTGCTCCAATTTGCAGATGGGTTTCTCTAACTCCAATCTGAAGTCAGATTCGTTATGAATGAATCTTGACAAAATAAAATAAATAGACAATTCAGTTCTTGAGCCAGCAAAAACACAATAGCTTTTCCAATAGTTATAACAGGTCTCAAGAAAGGAAAACCATACTGTACATTTAAAAATAAACCCACAAATACAAAGTGTTCCCAAATTCTTAGGTGTGCATGAATATTTTTAACTGCTTGGCAACTGAAAAGAAGTAGTAGAAGATTGTATAATCCTAAGTTGTTCCTTTCAACAAATAAAATAAAATAAAATAACCAAAAGCACAATTCTGATTACACAGTAATTCACTGGAAAGAGAACCATGTGGCAAATGACGAGGGAAGAACACTATAAAAGCCAAAAATCTAGACGAGGCTTGGAAACCAAAATAACTACTTCACGGTCCTCAAAATCCAAAGCCCTCTTTGAACCATTGCATGTAGGCAGGCAAATCTAGATGCATACAACAATAACAAGCAAAGCCTTTTTCTCCCAACTACTTGGGGTTAGTTACATAAATCCTGTTTTTCCATTCCAATCTAAGGTCATGGCCTGAATCAAACCACATGTTATCATATCATTCCTTACTAACTCTATGCACATTAACTTTGGTATTCCCCTTCCCCTACTCTTCCCAACTAAGTGCACTTAATGATTTTCCTTGTGCATGTCCTAACCATCTTAATTGATTTTCTCTCATTTCATCTCTCATTGGTGCTACTTCAACCATCTCACGAATGTTTTCATTTCTAAATCTATACTTTCTTGTCTTGCCATACATCTACATCAATATTTGCATTTTCATCACTCACTTGAGCATTTGTTGCTTCTTAACTCAACATTCTGTTCCATAAAGAATGGCTGGTCTACTAACTGTTTTATAGAAATTCCCTTTAAATCTTAACGAGATATGACGATATCACAATAAACTAGATGCACACTCCATAAATCTTGATTATCAATCTTCCCTACTTCCCTATTTGTATTCTACATTTGCTAAAATTACACTCAATAAAATCAGGTTTCTCTCCTTTTAATTTTAGACCACCTCTACAAACCTCCAGTTTAGCACTACCTCCTTTAGTTTCTTCAGTTAAAACAAATCATCAGCAAAAAATATACAACATGAGATCTCATCCCGAATGTGTCTTGTCAGCTTATCCATAACTAAGGCAAAGAGGTATGGGCTTGACGAAGACCCTTGATGTGAGCCTACAGGAATTGAGAATTCATTTGTTTCTCCCACAGTCATTCTAATTATACACACACATCCATCATACATGTCCTTATTGTGTAATCATCCATCATAACTATGGAAAATTCAGATGCATAGATGGAAAAATTGAAAAAAATCACAAAAAATGTTGCATGTGAATTGAAAGCACAAAAGTAATATACAAGACAAATAGTAAACCGGCCAGGAATCCACAAAGAAAAATATATTTTCAATAATGTTGTCACCAATACCATCTACCACTCAAGTTTCAAGCATTTGGAAGAGCAAACTGGTCAAAGTAATATATATCTATATATATATATATATATATATATATATATCTACTTTGAAAATAGTTTTTGTGACAAAAAAAATTTCAGCAACCAAACTCTGTTAAAACTTCTACTTAAAAGGCAATACAGTAGTAGAGAATATCATAACATTACCTCATCAAGAGGCTTCTCAAATTGAAGGTTGACGCTCTCAGCATGTGCACGCATAACAGGAACTCGTATACAGGTTGCAGTCACTTTAACATTCATGTCATTCTACAACAAAGAACATCAAGAATGGATAGATAAAGAATCTCATATAGACTGCGAGCATATGAGGAGTTGACCATATCTACCAAAGGGCTTGAACAAAAGACTATCTAGTTGATCAGATATAAAGGCAGAAAGATATCGACATTAAATACTTACCCAGATTTTCCTTGTCTCTTTCACTAATTTCATTTCCTCTTCATTATACCCATTTGAAAGAACAGGTGCATTGTGTGAGAACAGATTAAAAGCATACTGCAAAAGTGAAGGTATTAAGAGTTGAATTAGGTGACGGGATTTAATCCATATCATCTACTTTTATCTCACTAGCGAATTTAACTTTAAGAACAAAGAACAAACCTGCTGCTTAAATATATTACAAGTTGGTTGTTTTCCTTCAAGGACCTTATTTCAGACAAGGAAAAAAATAATGAGTTCTGGAGGAACAAAAAAGATAAATTCTCTATATCATATGGATATCATAGGCAAACTAAAAACAATATAATACTATGGGAGAAGTAGCAAAAACCTCACGGGTCTGCTGTTCAAGCTCTTCCATTGCAGCAGCACCAGCCCCACTAGCTGCCTGGTAAGTACTAACAACCATGCGCAATACCTGCACCATTCATGTACCAGTATTATTGTTACTGTTTGAAATGTTACCTCAAGCCAGTAGTAGAGTGTGACTTACAGAAAAATCTTCCCCACCCCCCCTGGTAATTTTAAAAATTATGATTGTTCAGGATCAGGTTTAGTAATTGTGAAGTTGTGGCTCGAATTGCCAGGTCGCAACGCGACCCGACAACCCGTTGGAGGAAAATTTTTGACCCCTTTTTTGCTCATGGGTTGTGGACCCTAATTAGTCTCTTGTAGCCCGATATATAAGGGCACTTAGGGTTTGGAGTGGTGTAAGAGAAAGACCTTAAAATTCATACGGAAACAGAGTGAGGGGCTGAAAACTTGTAATTTCTAATTTTACACATAGTGAAGACTTTCGCTGGATCCTAACCGTGGACGTAAGCTGTTGCCGAACCACGTATAAAACTTGTGTTCTTTGTGTGGTGTGTTTACTTTTCTATCGTGATTCTTGGTTCTATCTTGGGTTCATTGCGTTTGTCATAACAGTAATCATCTGGTGATAGGGTTTGTTAATTACAATATTTGTTAGGAATTGAGAAGTCTTATATAGTGCTTAGAATTTGCTTCATAGCAAATTTCTTAGTCTAGACTTTCTATTTTCCAAGAGTCCATTTTTTCTATAAAAAATTGTTTTCCATTTCTTTTTCTTTCTTTCTTCTTCTTCTTTTTTTTTTTTTTTTTTTTTGAATTTCTACTTTCAGATTAATTACAAGTGTTTAGTTCGCAAACCAACCCATTAAATTTATCACAAATATGTTTGAATAAGTTAAGTCAAGTTTATAATGAACTCGTTTTCTTGTTTCTAGAAATTTTATATATATATATATATATATATATATATATCAGAACAGAAATGTTTCTAGAAACAGTTTGGTTGCCAACATTGTTTTCTAGATTTTTCATGTAAGGCTCATTTTACCAAAATGTTATAAAATAAATTGAGAGCAGTTGAATTTATGAGAAAATTTTACTTTGTTTGTCTATTTACCCTCCTGCAATGTTCTTCTTCATATTGTTCTGATTTGCCTCCTTATTTCCATACTTACTATTAAAACGCAACCCAGCTTATATTTTCTTTATTTTGTTGAACAAACACTTAATTAAATAATGCTTAGTAATTACAACATGCTATTTTCTAGAAGCTCATTAACTTAATACAGTCAAATTTTTAGTCTATATTAATCCTAATATATCCAAGAACCATTATACTTCCCATTTTACCATTACAAAGATAGAGACATAAACTGTCCCAAGCCTAATTCCATCAAGTAAATAATTGTAAGCAGCATAGCTCAAATTTTTAAGTGTTGCTGTAAGCATCCATAGGTCCCAAATGAAGCTCACATGAGTCTATCCTCCAGATGTAAGTATGACTCACAAGCATACCACCAGGAAGTTCTCCCGGACTCACAAGAAGTTGCCCCAAACAAAAATGACATACCATGGGGCGCAAATAAGGTGTACGCCTTCATGCCTCACTCATACTACAAAGACCCCAACCTTCCATATTCACAAAATTTAATTCAACTGGTTTTTAATTGACCACAGTTCCCAGAATAATTTTGTAGTATACACTAAGGTAGAATGATCAGTTCAAGTTTTCAATAGTTAGTGGCTTATTATAAAGCTTGTTAAATTGGTTAGTCAAAGAACATAACAATCCTATGCTCTATGTTTTTATTTTATAAAAAGGACCTTGAATGGTTTACACCCAACATTTTGCAAGTGAAGTTCCTTGCCTCACACTATTCGTCAAAAAAAAAAAGTTTCTCAAATGTTTGAATAATGAATAAAGGATTCGCCCAAGAAAAGTAGACACATATATGAATTTGCCCATCCAATGGAGATAAAATGATTCCAGTTTTTCCTGCATGTGACTTTAGAATACTAATACATCTTCATAAATAGCACATCGTGATCATTTTCAGGATCTTATAATATGAGATCCCCAAATATTTGCTATCATCTATAATCGTGGTCAACATTTTCAATATAGGCAGCATTGAAGAAAAGAATACAAACTAAGAACTTATTAGAATACCAACAAGCCAATTCAACTTGGACATCTACATATTTCTTAGTCATTAACCACAAACAGACATTTTTCGCACAACATAAATAAATAAATAAATAAATAAAAGTAACAAGAACTCCATAATTAGAATATGAACTCACAAAAAATTCAGGGCAGAAAACTTTTCAATAAAGAAATTCATGCAAATAATATTCTCAAATTATGATCTAAGCATACAAGTAAAATAAGATGAAGAGCACAAGGGACTGATTGCCATCATTCTTAATAATAGTTTTTTCTTCTCCAAACAGAAAAATAAAATGAAAGCCACACTTTTTAACAACTGTTATTTTAGAAAAAAAATTCCTCAAAAAATCCAGTCTGGAATGCTCAAATTCAATAAACCCAATAAAAATAATGATTAACAAAATACTGCAATGTAAATAAACTAATAGGATCCAAAAATCGCACCTTGGCACGCCGATGAAGTGGCGTGGCGGCCATCAAGCATATGATAGTAGAACAATTGGGATTAGCAATTAAGGCTCCTTTCCCTGAACCGACCTTAATATGCGCCATAGCCTCCGGATTTACTTCAGGAATCACAAGAGGCACATTCTGATCCATCCGAAACACGGAGCTATTATCGACAACAATTGATCCACAATCGACCGCAATAGGCCCGAACTGTTTGCTTATCGACCCTCCAGCGCTGAACAAAGCAATGTCGACGCCGTTAAAGCTGTCTGCGGTCAGTTCTTCGATGACGTAGTCTTTGTCTTCGAAGGTGAGGTGTTTGCCAGCGGAGCGTTTGCTGGCGAGCATACGGATAGAGCGGTAGGGGAATGAGCGATCCGAGAGGACGGAAAGGAATTCTTGGCCGACTGCGCCGGTTACGCCGACGACAGCGACGGAGGGGGCGTCTTCGCGGAGGGACATACGGACTCTGAAGGCATTGGCGGTGGTGACGGGTCGGAAGAGGTTGGGTTTGGGCCGTGGAGAGAAGGTTGCGCCGCCGCAGAGAAATTGGTGATGGTGAGGGATGGCGGCGGCCTTCATCTTTACCAAAATCTCAGAGAGTTTGAGAGAGGGAAGGTTTTAGACAGAGTGGCGGCTACGGGTGCTTCAAGTTTGAACGTAATAGAAAGCTACTTTCTGTTTCAAGGAGAAGAATATATATATATATATATATATATATATATATATATATATATGACTCTGTGTATGTCATTTGGTTAATTGTACGACTTTGATAGTACTTTAATTTGGACTAGGATCCTGTTTCCATGCCGTAGTGAAAAAGGTATGCTTTTTTATTTATTTTTATTTTATTTTATTGTTAATACTTAAAAAAATTATTATATGGTCGCGTAATCATTAATTTGAAATCATTAGCTTCGTTCAATGATTTACTTAAACAATGTCAAATGGTGATTGGCCGGACCAATGGTCTAAAAATTATGTATTCTATAATAATTTTTCTCATATTATGTGAATTTATTTATTTAGAGAAATTATTACATGATCCAAGATTATATGACCTGACTTATCACACACAAGCAAATATCACATTTATTCAATTTATTTTTTCTTTTTGCCTTTGTATTGAATTGTGATTTCTATAATATAATTTTCTAATAAGAACTTGCATACTCTCTCTTGTATCATTTTGGTCCTCTGTATGTTTTGTGCTTAATGTAATAATTTTACATCATTAATGTAAAACTTTAAATTCAGAATATAACAATTCCAAATAGACAATACAACTAAATGTGTCAAATTTTCTATTTAATTGTATTATAATGTTACAACACGATATAATATATTGTATTTTAATTTATCAACCTCTATTTACTAACTTGTTGCAATTTACTCTCTTTGACTAATGGAGAATTAATTGTCATTAAGGAATAAAACAAAATTACATAAATACTCATAATAAGGAAATCAAATTAAAAAAAAAAAAAAAAAAAAAAAAAGATACTCAGTATATATTTTAGGAAAAAATATATCCATAACTAAATCCACGTTGTTTGTATAAGAAAACTAGTGGGCACATATAAGTAAAGTAAAATAATAATGGAACTAATTTAAATATAGAATATGCGCTATATAGAATATATATAGAATGTATATATAACGCAGAACTGTGTATGTCTAATAGGATTCGAATTTACTAATTATTTATTAAGAGAATTTTATCGACACAAAAAGTAGATTTGGCCACAATGTACAATGCTAGGTCCCGACAACCTACGGAGGGAGATTGGAATTGCTTAGTTCCCTAGATCCCCTGAACTATGAAACCTTAATTGTCTCTCACCATGAAGATTGTGATTTTTACTTTGTTTGAAATAGGGAACTGTATGGATAATAGAGAAGCTATTGCTGCTTAAAAGAATTTAATTTATTTATTATTATTTTTTTTTTTGTAGAGAAATTTCAAGAAATATCGTCTACAAAAGAAAAACTAAAATAAAAATCAAAGTCAACTTATGTATAATATTTATCTATGTTGAATCTGTCCATAATAATGGAGAAACTGATATTTTTTTATTTTTGTAAATTAATTAGAAAGGGTATATTGAGCAATTGTAAAGGTAACTTTGTCAAAAATAATTAATTAATGTGTCGTGTAATAAACTTGACTGATTTCATAGTTAGTAAAATACGGTACGAAAAAAATACGAGTACGAAAACGTACGAGTATAATTCAATATTTTTTTAAACATACGTTTAAAAAATTTGACAAAAAAATACAGAGAAGTAAAAATACGAATACGAATACATTATATACTCTAAAAATTCGGGATTAAAAATTCGGCTATACACATCTTATTATTTTATTATATATATATATTTGTAAGGACAATAAAGAATATGTAACAAATAATAAAATAAATATATTACAATTGACAGTATCACAATAATCATAAAAAAAAATTCATAAGTATATAATGTGATATTCTGCTAAAACATCTAGGGAGTGTGGTGATCTACAAACTTCGAAAATAATAATAATGATAAAGATATTAACAAAATTTAAAAGATCTCACAGCAAAACAAAAAATCTATAAATATCTACAACCATCAATAAAAATTTATGATTCTTCCAGATTATAGTATTCCACACACACATATATATATATATATATATATATATATATATATATATATATATATATCTTTCATTGTTTTGATTAAAGATCATAATTGGAGTGACAACAATAAGAGATTGCACAACAAATAACATTATTTTAATGGCTTGAAAGATAATGGCTATAGAAAAGACAATAGTTTGCAACCAAAACGAATAAACAAAAAAACGCGTTAGATACGGGGTGATGAAAAAAAAAGCGTATTTTACCGTATCTTTCAACTCTGATCGGCAAACGGAAGTATTTATTTTTTCACAATTACGCGAATTAACTAAGTAGGACTGATTTAAATGCAAAAGTGGGACATTTGTCACCCAAAGGGGTAACTTACAACCCTTTATAAATAAAAGTTGTTTGTTGCCTAAAAAGCATTGGGGGTATTTGTGCAACTTTTTTAAAATTAGAGGATTCGGAAGAAGAAGGTAGTACCAAAAATAAAAAAGTGGAAGAGAAGTTGAAGTAATTTTCATTTTTGCACCAAGAATCTTAACCTTAAGATGGAAGGACAATTGTGGTATCAAAAAGTGCAAGACTAAAACATTGTTTACTGTAGGGACTTTTTTGTAATTTCATTTAAGAGAAAGAAATGGAGCCCCTTAGCCTAGTAGCGGAGCACCAATATCAGCTCCCAGTCTCGTCAGAGGATCCTCGAGACACACTACCTCAGGAGATCCGCAGTGCAAAATCATGAAAAAAGTTGTTTGCATCTTTTCTAATACTAATATCATGCAGCAAAGTTTATATAGCATGTTGTGTCCCACAAACCACAACCTAAAAATTGTGCCTCAAATTTTCTCCACCAGTGGAACAATAGGATCTGTTTCGTCCAGTTCGGAATGTACTTTATAAAAATGTTGGGATGTTGAGCAAATATCCCAACTTTTTGACGGAACATGATGCACTGTTCACATGAGGGGATTTTCTTCCCTTTACGGCCATATTATTTCCTAACCCCTACATCTACACTACCCACACAAACAAACAGCACAAAAATCATCTTTTCGGTCCCGTATTAAGCTGAAACCAATTTGTTTAAATAGAGTACTCTTCTGTAATCAGAGAAACTGTTTCTACAGTAGAGGCAATTTTAGTGCATCTTGATAAATGATTACTACTAAAATACATGATGATAAGGTATTAGGCTAAAACTTGCCCTACAGCCTGTGAATTGGCAATAAGTATAATCTCATTGGTAGCATTCCAATAAGTTGGGTTGCATTAGCAGATGCATTCACTTTTGTATATGTAATTGAGTTAATCCTCCTCCAATGGGGTCAATACAACATCTTGGATAGCTACTAGCTTTGCTCTCCCACCATACTCTTCTGGCAAGGCTTCTTCTCCGATTGCCTTGACGAAATCCCTCCTCTCATCTTCATTGGTTACAATCACAATCTGCATTTATATCAGCAAAACAGCAATCTTTTGAGTGTTAGGATTTTGCTTCCTAATTAAAAAGTTAATCCTCTCGAACTTCAAAAGCAGACAATTTAAACAAAAACTATAAAATTGCCGAATTCATGCTCAAATACACAATGGTTTGATTTAAAATAGGCGCCTGAGTTGAACCCAAAGCAAATTTAGGGCACATTCTATTCTGCCATACATATTGTTTGCTTCTCCAAAAAGTGCTGAAATTTTGGGAGATTTCCCAAGTTTTGAATATTTTGATTGAAAGAACATATGGATAATATACTTGGCCAAATTTACTAGGAGTACTCGAGAATTCTGGTTGTACAACCATTTAAGGACAAAACATTCTTTAAGGACAAATGTCATATTGACTAATCTGGTAACAGGACCTAGAACATTTTTGAGTAGTATCTTTCAGTCCATTGCTATACAATGTATGAGTTGCATTTTGAGTAAGCATGTTCAGTCTGATCCATGAGTGTAAGCAACTTAGTTAAGCAGATTATCTTATATATTCACATGCTGGACAAAAATAATATACCTTCTCTAGAGTTGCCTTCTCAAGGAAGCGGGAAACAATCCTCCACACGCTGACAAAGAACTTTGGCATATTTAATATGAAACATTTGGCCAACCGCTCAGGGTAATAAGCCTACATGAACAAAATATAGGTCGTCAACAAAAACTGTTGGAAAATAACATCACATTCTACAAAAAAAATATGAGATCTAATCAAACAAAGCCCTAATTGGGGGAGATTACTTGGCAATTCAACATCAATTAGCAGTGCGAAGTTCTTATTCCTAAGGTAAAGAAAGGATCTTGATAAATGCCTTATATTTTACCGATTTCTAGAATGTTTTGTACGCCAACACCCAACCTTCACCATAATAATGTCCAATGGATTATATAGTTTTATATAGCTAAAAGCATTTTCATTGATTCATGATATCTCTAAGCATACACTCTTTTGGGGCATTTATTATGGGTACGAACTTTAAGTTTTATGGCAACACCATGCCCATAAGCTGGTTATGCACACATAACATGTTCATTTCCTCTTCAAATTTAAACAAAATTGCCAGTTGAGAAATTAGTAGAACTAAAGGACAAATTCTAAGAATTTAGCAAACATAGTCGACTGGATTAGCAAGAAGCTAAGAACAGTAAATCTACATGTAACAAGTATCCATCATTCCCAGCTACAAAAAAAAAAAATAAATAAATAAAATTCCAGTTTCCTTGTCATGATATATGTTACCAAAAGATGACTCCAGAATAAATTCAAGTGAGAACTGTACGCTACACTTCTTCTTGTGTACCACTTTAAGCTATAACAAATTCTCATACAGAACAATAACAGAAAGATGTACCTGTAAAAATTGAAACCCAGTAATTAAGCCACGAGCATCAATGTTCTTATAAGTAATTTGTTGTAAATCAAGAACGCCAATCAACTTCTCATTTCCTATTTCTCTTCCCTTGAAGGAGCTGAAATGACCAGAAGAAGATTGAGTGAAAAAGGAAAACCCAAAACCGAATTCTTGCTAGAAAAAAAAAAAACAAAGTAAAAGTTGATGAAAAAATTCATATTGTCAAAATACATAAGCCTCTTTAAAGAAAACCACCTTTAATAAACTGCTTATCTATCTTTGAAAAAGAGGGCTTCAAAATTCATGAATCGGAGTTCCAGTTTGGGAGAAGTACAAGTCAAAATCTCGGATTTCCCACCCAGTGCAAGTTCTTTTAGATGATCTTTTACTTGAAGAAAGGATATTAAGAAAAATTAGATGAAGGGAGAGAGAGTGGAAGCTGGGGGAGTTTTTTTAATTTTATTTTATCATCAGTGTGATACCTAGACACAGCTAGTATAAATTAATAGCCTTAGATAATTATAATCCTGCCAGTAATAATCAAAACAGCACTTGTTATCCCACCAAGGATATACTTTCTCTGACTAATAAATGAATTTTGATAACCATGTAATTGAATTATAAACATACCTTGCAATGGTTTTGTCTAGCAGATGAACAACAAATTCTGCACCAAGAAGCCAAACAAAATGAATCAGATATTCACTAACCACTTGTAGTCATGGTATTGAAATTGATGTGTGTATGTGTGCGTGTAATAGAGAGAGAGAGCTTAAATTAGTCTCAATCATTTTGTTCCCAGACAAATAGGCCCTTTGATGATTAATGCACAACATAACACAATGTAAGTTGGCCCCAGATCATAATAATAATAACAGCGACTCGCCTGTTCATGTATCATCTAGGGGATTCAACAAATCAATCCCCACAATTGATCAATTAATATCTTGTATAATCCCACAGCACTACTACCAGCCTGACTTATGAAAACATGACGTACATAAAAGGATAAATCTTCTTGTTATGCAAACAATCATGGTAACAGCTACGATAACCATAACTGCCCTCCAAAAAGGGGGAAAAAAAAAAAAAAAAAATGCACTACCATAACTCCATAAGAATATAAGATAACCGTGACAAAGAGTATAAGCTGGTAATATATATTGACTTGGTGCCACATGGTTTACCTACAGACCTATAGGACTAGTGAATGGTTGGAGGCACTTGAAAAACTGTAACAGCAAACTTATCCTCATAAGTTATTGCTAAAGCTGGTCGAATCATCATCTTAGAAATCAACCTAACAAACATCACAGATGAAAAACATTATGAAGCGGGTTTCACTTTTCGGCTCTTAAACCAAAGCAATTCTGGAAAGCAATCTCCCAAATTAATTCCAAATGGGAATATATTAAAGCAACAGGACATCTGCCATCCACATTGAGGGAGCACATCCCCTGTTTAATCACTTCGTTGTGTTGCATGTGGGAGGGAGTTTGATCAATCTACTTCCTTTCTCTCTTGTATGTCTTCCTAATGTAATGGGGAGGGAGATGACATGATAGGGTTGAAGAAGCAGAGCTCGATGTGATTGAGTTGCTGTTAGATGAATTGGCTGGACCAAGTCCCGTGTTTTCCTTAAAAAAGAAACAGTTCGAAAAGGTTCAATTGTCCGAAATGAATGTCCTTGGAACTAGATACTATATTTTAATGACAAGTCATGTATTCATGTTGGATGATAGAAGTATTAGTTACAAGTAGATAAATAATCGAAGGGTACGCACCAACATTAATCAATGGAAAACATCCCTTCTTATGCTCAATCCTGAAGTTTGGTCAATTAGTGTCAGTTAACTATAAGATTGGATTGTTTTCTCACTTAATTACCCAAAAAAAAACACCATAAGATAGGATTGTTTCATCATCAGTTTGCCCAAATCTAGCATTTTATGTTAATGGAATCATATATCCTTGATCCTTCTTAACATCAATAAGCATAATAAGAAAATTATATTAACCCAAAAGTACTGATAATGATAGTGAAAGTGACTCAAATGGTATTATTGCCTTTTAGCATGAAATTCATGAAGCACATGGAAACCAATCAACAAGAACTGGAAGTTGTCTGATAGTGGAAGGCGAAGCACTTGGAAAAGACCATTGAATGGCCCCATAACAAATGAGTCAAGTAAACTAAACCAAAAGATAAACTCCAAGTTGTCCAAATCAAATGGACTTTAATAATGAAACTTTTCTCCTACGCTACATTCGTGTGATGGCCCATTGATAGGACAATATATAAGATCAAAGTAAGCATCTATTTTATCAAAATAAATAAATAAATAAAATCAAATAGATGATAGACTAATTAAATAAATAAATAAACAAATTACTCTTGAATTGAGGTTGATCCTTGGAAGGAAAATGTTTGCTGGCTTTCACGACCATTACAGGGCATCCATCTTCTGATAAGCCCTGTAAATAAATCTTCCGAGCCGCCAGTTCGTCCGGTACTTCGGAGTCGGGGATGAACCCTAATGGGACCAAAGCATCCCTCCATTTCTGCCACTGAACAAACATCTTTGCAGCTTTATCTGAATCCATTGATCTGGCAATCAAGAACCTCTTGAGGGTTGTGTCTCCATACTTCTGCAAGCAATAAATATGGTATCAAATTGATCATTGAATGACTTTGTGCAAAAATATTGTGTGTATATAATATATATATATATATATATATACACACACAAATACATATATAGCATCAAAACTTACCCCAGCAGAACATCCAAGCTTTTCAATTGATTTCCTCATCTGGGTCAATGCAATTTCTTGGCTTTCTTCCATTGGAGGTTCTGGGAAATGACTGTTTGGTTGATTTGAGATTAAAAGAGAGAACTCTGAACTGAAAGATGGGTCCGAAGTGATTTTAGTGAGAGAGAAAACCCATTTCAATTTCACGAGGGTTGAGATTCAAATGGATTTCAGTGGAAAAAAATAGAAGGGTAGGAATAGGAGCGAAGAGAGAGAGAGTTGACAAAAGTGGTCCTTCGAAAATGTGACAGGGGTGACATGGACTATGGTAATTGTCTGGTTGAATCACTTGGTTGGGTGCGAGTAAGCTGAGAAATAAGAGGATATTTAATTGCCCAATAATGGAGAAGTTAAGTCTGTTTAATAATTTATGTAACTTTTTTAATAAGAGAAATTAGTTGCAGAAATCACTATCAAATCCTTCACATGTATGAGTTTGACTGTGTCTTTAATTTTCTTTTTCTCTCTTCCGTGTATTAAGTAGTACAACACTTCCCAGCTTTCGTGGAAAATTGAAAAACAAAAAGATGATGCAAGTCACCTTACGAATATAAAAACTTTAAATTATTAAGAGGGAGGTTCAAACTTCAACTCAACCAAAATAAAGGCGGGATTGACAATTAACTAGTATTATTACTATTTATTTACAATAGTAATCACATGAATTTAAAAGGTTTTATTGATCATGTACATCTAGTTTGTGCAGTTTCTTTTCGATTCATCTCATTAACGTTAATTGGCTGTTTCAAAGTAATTCACTTCATAATATCTTTCAAAACAATTATATTTGGAAGGTCAATTAACCTCTTTGTCAATCCACGTGTCTTGTCTAATATTTATTTTGAATGCGAACAAAAATATCCTCTTATTTAGAAAAATCTTAGACATTGTACTATACGTTCACATATAGTTTTGGTACACAACATAAAATTCAAAATAGGCCGCCTAAAACAATAACAAACGTCACCGTACATCAAAATGACGTGATTTGGTATAGATGAAGGGATCCACTTCAAGTAACTATACGACGCATCTGGTATTTGTAGGTAGCCACAAGTTCATGAAAATAGAAGTACACTCCATAAATGCCAAACAAGTAGGAAATTTCTTGGGTCTTCAATAGGAGAGGAAACGGGTCTTGAAGGTTTCCCAAGCTATTTCTTTCTCGAGGTACTCAATATTGGAGGGGTCAAAGGGACCCTTGATTCTGTCAATAGACTTGATCACTGCCCTTGCTGGAAGAACACTCTTCGATGGGTCTGGAGAGGTCTTATAGCTCAAACATGATGAGAATCCCTAACATATATACCCAATCAATGTAAACAGTGTGGAGAAAATACTAATATTTAAGGCCGAACAAAATTTTGATTCCATTTTCTGAAAACAGTTCTCGAAAACTAAAATTTTTTTATACATATATGTATTTGTAGCTTACCTTGAAGATAAGAACTTCTACTTCTTGACCATCGACCAACGCTTTTACAAGAAGTGCTTCATCTCTTGCAGTCTGGCTATACAACTCCAGCATTGCTATCTCTGCGTTGTGTCCATTTTCTTCTCCGTCCTCTTCGTCTTCTTCGTCGTATCTCACTCTCCGCCTAGCCCAACAGTGAGTGCTCGAAACCCGATCACTGCTTCGTTTCAGAGCTTTAATGGAAGAACAATTGCCCGCAGCTGAGTAGGTTGAATTGTTATAATTTGAAGAAACAGGTAAAAGGGTATGTGGGATAAGTGTAGACCATCCACCATGACACTTCAACATAGTGAGGTCTCAGTGACTCAATTCGTAAAGTAAGATAAGGTTTTGAAACTGCTTTTATATGGACCACCGGATCTAAGACTATCCAACTAACCTCGCCATTGAATGCTGAGTGGGGTTTTAGGAGTGCAACTTAAACGGACTAACCCGAAATCCAAGAACTGCCCCATTTTTCAGACTTCCGCAATCATTTCTACAATTAAGCTTAGAATTTAAAATATATTTACATTCAGGTTTTTTTTTATTATTTACAAACCGTAGATAAACCTGATTTTCGTAACTAGAGCTCAACCCAAGTTTAAAAATTCAAGTGTGATTGAGCTTAGATTGAAAATTTGGTTAGATTGACAAAAAACTGCAGTATGTAAATCACACCAGGACATCCAAAAAGAGTGTCTCAACACTGATATGGCTAACAAACATATGCTAACGGCTTTATACAAACAAATATAGAATAATAGACATGCTTGGGTCGAAATTCTAAAAACAGTTCTCAAGAATTTATAAAACGTAAAACTGTTTTCAGATAACTATAAAAGACAATTATCTGAAAATAAGCCTTCTTATAACTGAGTTTTCGAAAAACAGTTTTCTGAAAATTGAACCAAGCAATTTTTTTTATACAATTCACTGTCTTAAATTTTTTTAAAACAGAAAACTGTTTCAGAGTCACACATCATGTTATTTCTCAAAAGATATCCACCACCACAAATACGTGGCTTCTACAGGAATGCGTATGGAACATTTTTTCACAATTTGTTCAAAATAAATAAATAATAAAACAGAAGTATAATAAGCCCCATTCATAACAAACTTTACAAGCCAAGAACTGTTGGTTTCGGCTGTTCACAATGTACTGAAATTTAATTGTATGGCACTTCATTTATGTAACAATGCAGTTATTTCACTATTGACAAATTGATGAAATGGACAAATATACACTCGTAAAGGAACGACTTTTATTTACCCTTTCCATCAAACAAATAGGCCAGCAACACATTGGCCCTCTTCTCCCTTCATCCCCCACCTCCACATACTCTCGACTTCGTTAATCGTACGTGCGACGAGGTCGTGGAGGAAGAAAGGCATCCGGGTAGTACTACAATTTTTGCTACTTCTGCAGGCATCCATAAAATGTAACAGCACTAAACCTTCATTAATTACAAGCATTGCCTATTTTTCCAGATTCGTGATTCAATGTGTAATAAATAAATGAGCATCTCAACATCATTGAGCCCAAATAACTACATAATTAAGTCAGTAAGGTGTCTTCATGATTGACACCATTTCAAGCTGTCGGGGGAGTCTTCAATACAACTTATTCCCTTAGTACTTGTGAAAAGGTAATGGTACTTGCCTTGGAGTGTAGAACCTGACAATCACTTCCAGAAAGCTATGGCGACAAGGACATTCAGCTTTTAATTCTCAGAATCACAGCTACGGAGAGATTTACAGATTTTTACTCCAAACTTCGTTCGAGTGTGGCACAAGATGCTGATGGAATTCAGGTCTAAAGTAACATAATACAAAGTATTCAACTGGGATATCTTCTGAACATCTGGTTATATGAATTATGAACAATGGTCATCCTCCATGGACATCGAATAGACTTTCACTCAAAAAGCAATGCAAGCCTGTTGCAGAAAAAAAAAACTCTTAATTAGAGACTCGGTGACAGAATTATGCAAGTCCATACACACTGCATCGACGGCATATGTTCAATTGACTATTAAAGAATTCCTATCAAAATATATTCCTAACATATGAACACTGTCCACGTTTCCTGTGTACAAGGGGAGGTTGGCAAGGATCCCCATGTTCCGTTTTCAAGGGAATCAGATAAATCCTCTCCCCCTCACACAAGAAATGAAATGATATTGAAGTGGCAAAAACTGCAAGTTTGTATAATTTTTAATTATTATTATGTTTTGGCATGTAACCTAAACGACAACCTAAAACAAGTTCAAAGTAAATGAATAAATAAAGGGAAAAGCCATAATGCTAAGGTTAGTTCAAAACACAAGCTTCAATGATAAATTGAAGATATCATAAAGTAAGCATAACTCTGCTCCAGTTACCGAATGAAACAAGAGATTGACTTGCAACATTGCAAATAAAAGTCATACCATAGACTCTCATGTTGTGCATGTGAACGAACACAAAAATGCAATCAATTTAACTGGCTCACACCTCAATATTAATTTATAGACTTGTAAGACACGAGTGCATTGACCATCCTGGAGGGACAACTTCACAACAACAATACTACTCTATAGCCATGTGCGCAACTTTAAAAGTAGGGTACAGCTCATGTTGGAAATAAAGAGTCTTATTCACGTCACAGTATCTGTAAGGGTATTGCCGCAATTTTACTTCTTTAGATAAACCAAATAAGAAAGGAGAGCCATTTACCACTTCTAATTTACAACAAATATGTTGAGTTGACGACCAAGGTCTAATAAGAGTGGCACAGTCATTCACAAACTTTAGGCAATAGGGGCATTGACATCAATCGATGTCAAAATTTGACATCAGCAAGAACAAACACTGACATTAGGTTTGCCTCTGCTATCACCAGGCAAATATCTGGTGCGGTTTGAAGTAAATTTCGTAGGATTTCATCTCCCTTACTCAAAAAAATGAGCTGCTCTAATAGTTCTTTAAATCTCAACCTCATCAATTGTCCCCATCCTTGCTCTGAATGCCAACAAAGGGCAGCAGAGTCCATTGTAAATCTACCAAGACATTTTTTAGGAGCAGATTTAACATCAATCTGTGGCAAATCACATCCTCATAATTAACCCTCCAATATGATTCCCCTATTTTCTTCACCTGCCAATCTGCCACCGTATCTCGCCGGAAACAGTAATCCTAATATTTCCAATCCTTCCTTTGAGTAGTAGGGTGAGTTTGGGTTTGTCCTTGGTGTGTGGTAACTTGATTTCAAGCGTACATCGACATGTCAGATTACAGAAGTCTATGATGGAAGTTCCATTGGGCTGCAATGGGCTTGTTCACTGCCAAAGACAAGAAGTCCACTTTACCTGTAATTATCTATCATGGAATGCCCTGAAGCACAAAACGGGCTTGGATTATGGATGACACAATATTGACTACTTGATCAGTCGGCAAATCCTAATAACGCAGGACATGGAAACTGTCCAGTGATGGCATTGAACTTTTTTCTTTTTTTCCTATTTTTTTTTTTAGTATATAATAGTATACTACATGGGGAAAACACTTGTGCATTATATTTTGGGTATATATATAGGACAAACATTGCGTTTTTTTTTTTTTTTTTTTTTTTTTTTTTTTTTTTTTTTTTTTTTGGTATATAATAGTATACTACATGGGGAAAACACTTGTGCATTATATTTTGGGTATATATATAGGACAAACACTTGTGGGGAAACACTTTTTTTTTTGTATATAATAGTATACTACATGGGGAAAACACTTGTGCATTATATTTTGGGTATATATATAGGACAAACACTTGTGGGGAAACACTTTTTTTTTTGTATATAATAGTATACTACATGGGGAAAACACTTGTGCATTATATTTTGGGTATATATATAGGACAAACATTGCCTTATGATTAACAAATTCAATATTCTACGGCAAAATAGTTTAACAAATACGCAAACCTTTAAATTATTTTTTCCTTCTACCAAACCAGAGTCAGTCGTATCTCAAATCCTGATGCTTGAGACGTGTGTCATAAATGTGAGCCAAAGTGCTCAGAATTTAAATTTTATTTCTACACTGTGGGTATGTCATGTCTACGACACACGTCTAGAAGTGACCAAAAAGTGTAGATTTCCATCAAGGACACTGCTCCTCTATACGAGCGTCCTTGCTACTTAGATGGAAACAAATGTTCTTTTGTTTATTCCTATAAAAAATCAAGGAGACAAAAACCTAACTCAAAAAATTAATATTGGGAGAAGATTAACAAAACTACACAGAGATAATGTTGTCACTTCACTCTATCAAATGTAATAAAGAAACAGACCTAATCCCAAGGACTAGCGATTTTGAATGAAACTAAAGCTTTCTTTCAACTAATTCACAACAACATATGGCATCACGGTCATGACAACAAAACTAAATCTATTCTAATCTTGTAGAGGTATTTAACAATAAATTTCACATGCCTTCTTCATATGCCAAAAATGATAAGACACGGCCATACATCTACTGCCACTGCCATCAGCAAGGCCATATGACCACCATGGTATGGCACCTCCACCACCACTACCAAGTACCATCCAATTAGCAATTGTGTGAAATAGTTTATCAGTTGTCCACACAAGGCAAAGTAAAATAAAAATATGGAAACACCAAATGGCTTAAGAAGCAAAGTTAGACCTCCATCAAATTTTGTACAATTTTTGTGGAAAATAACTTCTAAGTCTTAGTTATCTCAAAGTATCCAGTTAATAAAATTCATCACTTGTAGAAAAATAAATAAAAAATACCAGTTAGTAAATTAAGGCATATCAGAAATTGTGGAAAACATTGATTTCATAATATCTAGGCAAACTGGGTTACCTATTCAGAGAAAACACTCATGAGATCATTTGGTGTAAGATGTTGTAATATTGGGATGCCCACTTTAGCATTCTCAACAAAATCCACATTGGGCTCCTGCTTGACTCTGGTTCCATTGTTCTCTCTATAGATCTTTCCATGAGTCAAGTTGTTCATTGGTAACTCAGGTTCATCCACTGCGAACCGGGTTGGAATGGAAATCCCTTTACCAACAAATCCAAGATTCCTGTATGGTCCCTGATCAAGCACTTGATCTGATTTAGAACTATAAGAACCTTGAACGTCACCCATATTAGGGAGAAAGCCCTGGAGCTGTGTGCTAGCATTGAATGATAGAGTAGGGTTATGAACTCGCCGACTAGCACCATTGTCAGCATTTACCGAGCAAGATGACACAGATGGAGAAATGGAACTTGGACCTGAATAACCATTAAGCACACCCATTGTTTTGAGATCCACATCCAACATTTGTCCAACACCAAATGTGGAATTATTTGACTGAGGTGAGAAAAGACCGTAATCAATAACAGAACTTCTGTTGAAGCCACAGTTTTGATTAATTGAAGCAGTACTATTTCCTGCCTGAAAACTGGCTGACGACTGAGAAGGGACCACAAGGCAAGAAGGCTGCACGTTAATTGAGCGGCTAGGCTCTGGTGGAGTAAATTGTTGCTGTTGCTGTCGTTGCTGATGCTGTAATATACCCATTAACATATTACCATTCTGATCACCCAACCCAGAAAGATTGCTGCTGGTTCCCACAGTACCAAGGCTATCAGATGGCCATGCTCCAAATACTGAATGAACATCCTCAGCAGATATGTTGGGTTTAGGTAAATGTTTGGAGACGTTGGATGGGCATTTCATCAAAGGCTGACCATATGCCCCGCCATGATCATCAGGAATACACTTGGGTCCCTGAAGGGATGCTTGTAGTAGAGCTGGCTGGTCTACCGCTGGCAACACTAGGTTACCTGTTGGTCGACCTAAAAGCTCAACATGCAGGGCTGCCAATGTTTGTGGAGGAATTTGGCCAGAAGCAGCCAGAGCTTGAATGTCAAATCTTCCTATTGAACCCAGTTTCGCATTCTGTTCTACAGGCCCACAAAACATATTAGGAATCCCACCTTGTTGTTGAGCTACTCCACTCAACCTCTTTAAATATAATCTGAACTTCTGCAAATTAAATTTACAGGAAAATAGACTCGACATAAGAATTATAACCAACACACTTGAACAAAAAAACAAAAAATAAAAAGAAGGAATGATAATGACAACTGTGAATGCAAGTAACTGAAAATCTACAATACACGTGCAGCAACAAACACACAACTTTTGTCCTCATTTTATTGCAAAAATACTACAAGTCAATCAACTGTGAATGTAAGGCCTAACTAAAAATTTACAATACATATGCAATAACAAATGCACGTGTTTTATCTGCATTTTATTGCAAAATAGTACAAGTCAAATACTATTGATCATAACATGGCATGGCATACAATGTATGAGTTGTCGAATGGTTGCTTAGTCAGTTACTGAGATCCCTGACTGGTGATGCAGATTATAGTAATATTCCAAGTCAAGAAGATAAGAATATTCATAAGGCAGCTGACAGCAGGGACGTTGCTAAACAAAGAACGTGCTTGGCAGATACTGGTTACTATAACTAAAAGGAAGGGCTATAAATTTCATGGAAACATACCACTCTGGTTGAGAAACCGTAGAAATGTAAAAAGACAAGTACAATTACTGTAATTGAGAGTGTTGGTTACCCTACTTTGGTTGGCCTTGTTTCTACTTTTTTTGTTTTTCACAATTTTCCCCCCTCCACAGAGGGTTGTATTTTTCAAACTTATTTAATTGCATATCTTATTTTGCCTGTGGGCTGAAAAAAAAATAAAAAAAATCTATTAAGGGAGAATGCAAAAGGGAAAAAGAATCGGAAGACATCACAAAGAACAACTCATACACAGCAGATAATCGAACCTGCAGATGGCTTGCAACATTTTCTCTAGTTAAGCCTTGAACGTTCATCAGTTCAAGAATTCTCTTTGGTACAGCCTCTGAAATGGTAACCAAACAAAATCTGATAAGCAGCTAATAGAAAGAGGCAAGCAAGTAGCAATGTATTGTTCTTGACAAGATACTAGCACTAACTTGCAATTCTTTATCCCAAAAAGAATTTAGGTAAATCGATAATATATAAATTTAATTAGAAATAAAGTAATATAAGAGATAAATTGTCGAAGTTCATACTATCAATCCCAAGTTGGTTTACAGCAGTAACAAATTGCTGGTGGAGCTCCACTGACCACACCACACGTGGCTTCTTCGATGTGGCCGGGTCATCATTTTCCAGTTCACCATCATCTTCTTCTTTAGTTTCTTTCCTCTTTTTCTGTGTTTTTATTATTCCTTCAGTAACTTCATTGACAGAAGAAGCATATTCAGCATCATCAATTCCTCGTTTAAGCTGATCATTATCATCCAAACTGCCAGAGTGCTCATGTTCTTTGCTTTCATTGCACTTTTTCCTCACAACATGCTGCCATATATTCTTCAACTCTTCTACACGTATGGGCTTAATTAAATAATCACATGCCCCATGTCTAATTCCCCTCATGACAACACTGGTTCTTCCATCAGCTGACATCACTGCAAAACAAAATATTAAGACTTAATAACCCTAAGCCTGATACTTGCCAAAAAAATAATAATAAATTCCTTGCACAAATGGCACTACTCACTAATTACAGGAAGATCCATTTCCAACCCCACATGTTCAAGGAGTTTAAAGCCATCCATATCGGGCATGTGAACATCACTTAGTACAACATCAAAACAGCCTTTTCTCTCCCGTAGTAAGTTCAGAGCAACAGTGGATTGGGAGCAAGTTGTAACTGCAGGTAATTACAGAATCAATCAAATGAACTGAAGGAAAAAGGTACAGCAACTGACTAGTTGTCTGACAAATAAATCAAACCAATAGCAGTATTTAAATCAAGGTAAGATGTTAAAAGTTCTCATAAGTGTTCAGACACAGAATTCTCCAGTATCCAGTGGTTTCAAAAGGTTTTCCATGCACTGCCAATACAAATATAAAGTACTTCTACACCCAAAATGCATTTTTTCATATATCAATGAAAACCCTTGTTCCTAATGGTGAAAACCAAATAAATAGCATAAGTGACTTTCTTATCCATGCCGAAATGAAGATACCTCCTTAATAGAATGGAATGATAAGACCATACAAAAGGGATAGGGAAAAATTCACTCAGTCAACCCAAGAAGTTGGGACAAGTTAGCTGAGTGGAGCGAGAAGCATAACAACAACTAAAAATATGTAGGGGAAAAAAAAAATCCTCCACTTCAACATTTTCAATTTTAAACCAAAAGTAAATAAATAAGTCCCCATTTAAAATCTGTACAACCAAAGAGGGGATCCACGGAAAGCTAATGCATTTGATTCATTGATTGGCAGATCAGGTTTAAGAAGGCTTCTTTGATGATAAACACAAGAATGAACCACATTGTCATCAGTGTAGGAGGCTAGGAGAGTTATCTCCCAATTCTTCTGTTGTTATATGGTAGAAACCATGAAAATTGTCTTCCATATCCTTTTCAATCAATTACAGTTCGAAGCTAATATTTATGGCTGTTGAAGGATATAAATATTAAAGTTACACCCTCTCTAAATATTTTGGAGTATATGGTTGTTAACTTGGTATCAGAGCCAAAGGTCTCGAGGTCAAACCTCACTGTCACCCTAATTAAAAAATTGAAAAGCACGTGTTGGACCAAAAAGAAGGCCACAACTGAGGGGGCGTGTTGAAGGATATAAATATTAAAGTTATACCCTTTCTAATAGTTTAAACTTTTGGAGTAGATGGTTGTTAACAATGGCAACTACTGTCCTCTTAAGTTGAATTCCAGAAGATGAAAATTTCAATAACTACAATGGGACTCCTTGAAAATAGAAGGGCAAAGTCAGGTCAGCTGATTTCTAGACCTCCTCCTCCCCCGGCAGAAGGGGAGGGCTTAGGGAAAAAAAAAAGAAGGTACTTTCTGCTTCTTCACAATGATAAAACTTATTTGGAAGAATAGAAAAGGGATTGACATAAAATAAAAATAAAAATCAACCAAGTCCCAGTGAATTAGATAAGCAAAATTAAGAACTTTCCAGCTTAGACATATTGATTCCATGGTCATGGAGATAGCAAAGGTAGAGAATCAGGTGACAGTATCTGGAAGTGGATATGAGGCAGTAATGGTAATGCGATGGTGGCCATTGAGGTGGCTGTGAAGCTAGTAGTGGCTGTACTGTGGAGTGAAAGGTTGCAGCAGAGCCAGTCATATTGCAGGAGGTGATGATGGTCATGTTCAGGGAAGCTGTAAAATCAATGTCAAATGGATTTAGGGGTGGAAGGGTAGAGGGTGGTGGTAACAGAATGGTAAGGGTGGTGGCGGTTGGTAAGTGTGAAAAGTGTGAGGGCAAACAAAATATTGCAAATCTGATGCTATGGAGTTAGTCGAGAAGCTGTGGTGGTAATGGCTATTGAGATATGGACATGGTTGGTTTGGTCAAGAAGTCTTGCAGGAATTAGTAGTTGCAATGTTGTGATGAAATGGTGACGACAACAACGCTATTTTGACATTGACAATGTTAGAATGACTTAGCCATACTGTTAGTAACAGAGGACAGTGTTGCAGTTGATAGTGGGGCCATGTTATTGGAGAAGATGAAGGTTTATCGATGGAGAAGGTGTTAGTGGCAACGAACTTGTAATCATTCAAGGGAAAAATGATGGTTGTGGTAGGAGCAACCAAAACGGTGATGGTAGCATGCATGTGACTGCATAGAGGAAGTGTAGGTGAACATGGTGTATCAGGGAAACAGTGGCTATTTGATGGACAGTGAGTTACAACGTTCCCAAGAAAACACAATGAAACTTTGTTGTCATGAGCAAAAGCAATCATAACTGACCAAACTATTGAGAATAAAGTTCAAGAGGCAAAGTCAACTAGTTTTAAGTTCTCTTAAGTGACAAAGGTATAACAAGGTAAATAAGGCAAAAACACAATTCCAAGCTGACCCAATCGTCCAATACCTTCAAGTTTATATATCGGAAAGGAAAAGCCCCATTTAGAAGTCTCTTATTGAGTAATATGTATAACAAACTAAAAAAATATATCAGAATTTTTTCCTTAACAAAAAAATTAGACCTTTTTTTTCCCAGTAAATAACTTGACCCTTCTTTCAATAGAGAACTAGACAACTGCCTCTTTGACTCAAAAAGATCATGCACGTGACCGCAACACATTATGTAGACAATCAGAGAAAACCCAAATCTGCCCGTACCACCAGCTATCAAATTGCATTAGTGTAACTACTAGATACACAACGTCACTAGCGCCTAAACTCTTAATTGACAACTACAAAGTTACAGTCTCAAGAACAAATTGATGTCATTTCTCAAACCCTGTTTTTTCAAACACATAGGTATTATTTTTAGAATTCGATAAAGAGAAAAATTCATATTATATATATCACAAAAGCGAAACTAATTCTATTTCATATTGATTAGTCCAATACAGTAAGTAATGTCCAGTGCTGTAACCGACTAATAGATGAAGCAAAACAGCAAACTAAAGGAAAAATGGAGAAAGCAAGCTCGACTCACCTTGGTATAGACATTTCCTAAGCATTTGCTCCAAAATCCTCAAGCAGGTAATGTCATCATCAACCACGAGAACTCTCAAACCCGCGGGAAAGTGCTCGGAAACAACTACATCAGCTTTGCAAGACGACGACCCGTAGCTACTCGCGGTCGCTGTGATGCTCGACTGCTGCAGTTTCTGCAAAGCAGCCATAACCAAGACCAGCAAAATTCACAACTCCTCCCAAGCAACACACTCAAACCCCTCTCTCTCTAGTTTCTCTCTCTAAAACACACTCAATTGAACCACATCAACGGCCACGGCTGATAAACCCTCTGCGAATCGTCACCAAGGAAACAAATTAACATCAATAACATTACATACAAGATCTATAACAAGAAATCCTAGCATTCACTAGCAGATTGGGTAATTACATGGAAGACGATTTTGACCACTCATTTGGACCAGATCTGTGAAAATACTATGATAAATACGAGGTTGATCGCCGAAGTAAAAAGGAGAATTTAAGATTTATGATAGATTTGGAGTTTCAATGATCGAGAAACATGGAACAAAGCAGTAGGTGCACTAAAAAGCTAGAGGAGGAGAGAGAGTAGAGAGAGAAACCGAAAAAGGAAACGAGTTTATGATAACGCGAGTCGGGGGTAAAAATGAGAAAAAAGAAAAGCTCATTATATGGCATACAACTCTTAATAATTTTTAAGAAAAGACACTCTTAATAATGGTAATTAATACGAGTAATAACAACAAATTTTTTATTTAAAATTACTATTAAGCTTTAAATTTTCAAAAAGAGTAATACTTGTTACTAATTTTGGTCTATGATAAAAATAAAAAGCTACTGCAGTAATATTTTTCAAATTAATCTATTACTAGTAACAGATATATTTTTTATTTGAATGGATATGGATATATATATATTTATTATTGTGAGGTGCGAATGTATATGGATATATATATATTTATTGTGAGGTGCAAATGTGTGTATATATATATATATATATATTGTGAGGTGCGCAAGTTTTCTCTGTATGTGTAGGTATGACGGTGTTGCCTGAGTGATAAAAGTAATATACCTAAATATGAATAATAACATATTATATTTAACATATCTCATTCCAAAGTATAAAGTATAAGCAAGGAAATATATAAGCTTATATAATACCATTTTTCTTTTTCTTCGAAATTTTTTTTTCAAAAGTTTAAGTAAACACTTGTCTCCACATAAACTCCAACAATCAACCTCTTAATTTGAAGAGGAAAGATTATACAATACTAATTTGAACCAATAACCATTGTCAGAGTAACACATTCAAACAAGAAGTAATATAATAATTCAATTATCACCAACACAATAGAGAGAGATAATGAATGAAAATTATATAAGGAAAAATAAAATTAGATCTTAAATCTCACAAATCCAATAAATTATGGCATGCCAAGACAAAACCCTAAACAAAACTAGAGTAACATCAATATTGGTTAAAATATAAAAGAAAGTTCAATTGAAAATTCACAGCTATCAAGCATATAAAAGCCTTAAAATCTACATTTGCTTTAATGAGAAATTAAAATTTGAGAATAAAGAGGGGCATATTTGTTAATTACAGGGCGCAAAATTGTTATTTAAGGGGCATATTTGTTAATTAGGAGGCATTTTGTAAAAATTTATAAAACTATATATATATATAAAGTATAATCTGTTCTTTCATGGGATGACACTCAATGTGAAGGCTAAAATGGGCATAAATAATACTACGTATCAAAATAACATTCGAGTTAGAGAAAGCTACTACGTCTAGAAAGCATTACAAGCTCACAGCCGCACAACATACTGTACAAAACTGATGTCTTCTTAAAGTATCACAACAAGGACAAACATCAGCAAGAACATTACAGAAAACACAGACAAAGTGAACATAAAAAGATGAAAGCTCAAGTGGCATAAATCCTAAAGAAAATCTAATGTTGCAATCTAGCTATAAATCAAAGATCTAAGTCCTGCCTGCTAGCTAGCTAAGCACAACTCATGAAGTTCATTGAGAACCCACTCTTCTCCGGTGTTCCCGCCCAAGACCAAAACCCTAGTCCCGCCAACGACACATGTGCTATGACCCCATGCTAATTTGGGTGGCTGTCCAGGGACATTGAGAATCCTCCATGATGGTTTCTCCTCCGAAGGATCCAGCAAGAAAAGCTGAGAAGGAGAATGCAGCCCTGCAATAGAACCACCAAAGATAATAATCCTCCCACATGGCATACTCACAGCAACATGATCAAGTCTAGGAGGAGGAACTACAGAACTCTGACTGCCTACACCGGTGAATGCACCGCATTCTAGTTGCCTCCACTGTGGCTCTTCATCCTCCAAATCAATTGTGTACGCCTCACCTGATCGCAACTGCAAGTGCCCACTCTTGACAAGCCCACCGAACATAAGTATTTTTGTTCTTCCATAAACTGAGAGTGAGTGTCCCAGCCTAGAGGGAGGGGCCCATGAAGTAGGAATCTCTCTCCACATTGGTTTGTCTGTAGTGAGATCCAACAAATACGTATCACTGAGAAACACCCCAGCATCTGTACATCCACCTGAGACAACTAACTTGGAGCCTTCTACCGTGCAAGAGCTATGCCAAGACCTAGGGAGGGGGGGAGTTCCACCAAAGACTTCTGTCCATGTTGGCTGTTTGGCATCCAAGTCAAGGACGAACACGTCATTGAGTAATCCTTCCCTACCACATCCACCAAATACTATCAACCAGGAGCCATTAAGGCATGAGAGAGTGTGACCCCAGCGCCCTGGCGGGGATGATTTAACGTTTACCCGACGCCATTCTGGATTTGCTGCATCAAGATTGAGAACAAAGGTGTCATTCATCGGTTCCATGTTAACTCCTTCACCTCCAAACAGTACGAGTCGATTTCCTGCTGCACATGCACTGTAATTGCAGCGTGAAGGCTCCACTGCACCTCCAACTGTCAGCTTCTTCCAACAAACCGCCTCAAGAGTAGTCAGTTCCCTAGACAGTCGACCCCACCCTAATTTCTTAGTCATCAGTTCCAGTGCACCTGTGACCTCTCTTCCCCATGCATTTTGACATACCATCTTCCTCACATGCTCATTCTTTGTTAATTGACAAATCCTTCTGCAGACAGACCCAATGGATGCGACATCCCTTGGTGTCAACCGTGATAAAATGTTGTGGGCCAGGACTTCATCAGAGAGCTGAAGAATCCCACATACATCTTGGTGTCGGCTGTGTGTTAAATGTCCACTCTTTGGGGAGTATTTACCAAACTGATCACATTGCTGATGGCAAGTTTCTTTAAAAACTGGATACGATACACTGTTCAAATCTATATTTGCCTCAGAAAACACTTGAATACCTATCACGTGTGTAATTGTACCATCATTTCCACGTATGGGCGCAAGTCTTAGCCTGTTCACCAAGGGAGTACCATCCTTCCTGAAGTTGAGAAGCTCACCTTGGAATTCGACACCTTCCTCTAGACATCTTCTGATTTCAGAAACAACAACAGGATCCACCAAAGGATGCCGCCTTTGAGCACGAGGATCTCTATATTGTAGAAACCGGCTGAAACAAAATATTTCCGAATGAGTCATAATTGAATCTTTTTAAAGTGATCATAACAAAGGTACAAGGACAGAGAAGCCGATGGAAGCATAAATAAAGACGTGATTATGTATGTAAAAGGATAAGCAATGACCTGTTGGTTTAGATGGTAAGGGAAAACAATGAAGCGAAACTGGAACTGATTCCCAAGTTAAATGCAAAGAATTTTGAAGTAAACCATTTGTTTGGGGTGCGGTGCGGGAGAAGAATCACATTTTTGTTTATAGAATGTCGAAAAATCAAAATTCCATAACATATTGTTTTGCAGCATAGAACTTTAGTTACGAATTTTTTTTTTTAATTGGTAAGAAACACACACACCCACTCACAAAACTAGAAAAAGCGGCAAAAATAAAGATTTACAAGGTAAACAAAATGGAACTGACAATTGTCTCTCAAACCATTAACTGATAGTATGTATTACAAGCCATACTATACTTGATGTATCCCATTGATTTCTAGCTCTGAACAAGTTATAGCCAGGGTAGGCCTGGAAAAAGAGGGTGCATAATTATGAAGCTTTATAAGGTCTACAAATACTCAACTATGGAATAAGCATTATTCTAAGGATTAAGGTTGACCAGCAGACATCATTAATATATTGATATGAGAGCAATAGGCAACTCTATATGCTTTCTGAACACAGGTAAAGTAAAAATAAAAAACTTGTATTAAAGGCTTCAATCTACAAAAAATATTGAAATTGACTCATCAAAAAAAAATATTGGAATTGCCCAACTTAGGTAGTCTTCTTTAATAAAAAGTCGGCGTACATGTCTCAGATCAAATACGCCAATCATTATGGTATCCTTGAAACTAGGAACACACCCTTCCTAAGTGATGCTTCATGACCTTTCTATGAATTGTCTAACATCTAGCATATTTACACGCAAAACTAAGTTTATTGGTGATCAACAAGACTGCAAAAAAAATTATACAATTAATGATCTTCACAAAAACCAAAGTTTTCTTAAGGGATCCAAATAATAAACCTAGCTCAACGTGCCAAACAATAAAATCCTTAAGTTCTGCAGAAAATCTCAAAGCCAATGGGATACATAATAGTAATTGCATCCCCCACAGGGCTATGATAAGATGAATAGACCCTTAACCCTTAAAATGACTATAACCTGTAATTACATCTAATATTATCTGCACTTCATATTGTAAATGAAAAAAAAAAAAAAAAGGGACTTGATTACCTTACTACCATAGTATTGCACTATGAAAAATGCAAGTACCTGCGAGGAAATTGAAACATTGTGAACAGAAAGCACTATAATTATCCCATCTCAAGATAATTTTTCCTACATAATATCGGGGGATGAAATAGGATGAATAACCTGGTGTGACCAACTATTTTTTACGGATCCAACTCCTTTACGTAAGCAACTTTTAAAATGTCTCTCTTTAAGAAAAGAAATTACCCTTGAAATTGCTTAGTGAAGACTGAAGACAGGGTTCATAAATTTAAGAACATTATATGTAGGATCACCATTGATTCACTGAATAAGGAGTGATAGTGCTATAATAATGGAAACATCAAAGTAAGCTTGATATATCATATCTTTCATCTGGGCAGTAAAGCTTCTCCAATTCACTACACTATAAGCAAAAAATAATATGGCAACAACAATACTTTTTGTCAAGGGGCAACAGTTTGCTTTCATAACACATACTAATGAAAACAATGAATAATGTTAAAAAAGAAAAGAAAAAAAGTAACAACTAATCCTTGTTATTCCCTTTTTCCAGATTCATCCCACCATCCCTCCCTCTGATCACCAAAAACTCATCCTTTTCATTTTTGTAAGAATTAAAAAACGAGCACCAAAAACTCAAACCCTTCACCACTCAATTCCAAGATTTACAATTTTCAAAACATTGGCTAGCTTATATCCTCCCATCGCTTCACCAAAGGACAGGCACATCCGCGGCAATCATCTTACCACTTAGCTACTTAGCTTGTCCTATTTGGTTCTCAGAATAATGCAAGCTAATAATCAATGGCTTCCTTAAGCAATTCATCTCTTTCTTTTTTGGTAAGTATTCTCGAAACACTCATTTCATTTTAAACACAACGTATCAAATTCCAACTTCCCACAAGTATTTCTCACCATACAATTTCAGGAAAAAAAATATATATCCAGTGCAGTAAAAATGAAACAATCTCTCTTGTTACCTTAAACACAGTGGATCTGCAATTCAAATGATTTAACAATACAAAGCAACCAAATCATTACTGAGAAAAACTCCAACTAGCGAAAATACATACATATATACATATGTGTGTATGTATATATATATACACACACACAATAATAATTCTAACCAAAAGTATAAGATTCGAAAACCCTTTTGTTTCCTAAATTATCAAAATTTTACTTTGTAAAACAAAAACCCCACCTTTCTGCTCAGTTATCGAGTCCCATACAGCATAGAATTAAGATCAAAACTTATTGTATTATTCGACGTTTTTCTTATCAACCAAACGGGGTATGAACGAAAAAAAAAAAAAAAAAAGCAAAATTGAAACGATGAATTCAAACAGAAAGCCATAAAATGAATTGAACTGTAAAGAAATTTTAATGTACCAGTTTCTACCAAGGACTTCGTCGGCGCGATAGCCAGTGAATGTTTCGAAGACGGTGTTGACATATATGACCGGAAAATCAGTTTCTAAAGCGTCGGAGACCACGAAAGCCGACGGTATCATCGGGTAGAAAAAACTGCCTGGCTTCAATGGAAGCTCGCTATCGCTCTCCTCCCCTTCTTCTTCTTCTCCTCCTCCTTCTTCATCTCCGGCGCATTTTAGCCTCTTCCCATAGCAGCTATGTATCTCTTCTTCTTCATCCCCTTTCATGCCCATGCCTACAACTCTCCCTCCTATCTCTCTCTCTCTCCTCCCTCCTATCTCTCTCTCTATATAGATAGATAGATATTTTAGTCTCTGCAAAGTTGCCCACAAAGTGCATTAGTTTAAGCTACTGGACGGAAGTGGGTGACGAAAAAGCCCCAACTAGAGACCTAAATTACAAAAATGTCTTACCGTTTGATTAAATATTTATTTTTTTATATTTTTCTGTAAGGTAGTCACCATCATTTTCCACCGTCCTAACATATAAGTATATATTATTATATTTTTGGTCCATATTTAACATCTCTTTGCAATAAATATTCGAAACAAAAACACTACAATGACTCTTGCTTTCTTAGCCACTAGTGCTGGACTTGGTTATTGTTAAAACCGTGCATATAAAAAATAATCATATAAATATTAATTCTTTTTTTTATTATTAAAAGTGACAAATATAGAGATAGGTATTTAATATAAAAGAATTTATTTATATTTATAACTAACAAAGAGTTCTTGTTGATTACTGTTAATGGCAATCGTATAAAAAAATTGATGAATTTTGGTATTTAATTTTTTTGAGGCTTTTTAATTTCTTTTTCTTTTCGAATATATACTGAAATTAGAATGTGAATTTATTTTCTTAATAAATACCTTTTATTTTTAGAATACATTTGAGGTAGAGAGAATTCATAAGAGTGATCAGTTAGGAGTGGCAATTTAGTAGTTTAACTTATATTTGAGGGCGTAAGGTAACGGAAAGGAGTCCACCAGGATGAGTTGATGACACGTGGCAGAACGATATTTCTGAAAAATATCTTGACCTAATATGCCGATCTTTGCACAGTCCATGTCAGCTGTTTGGGGAAGATATTTTCGCGCCGGGACGTGGCAAACCCTCACACACACAAACACAAACACACACAGGAGAGAGAGTATCAATGTTTTAAACATTGATTTCCATTCTTGTATCTGCTACCCCCCACTTATTAGATAAGATGTATTTTGTAATTAAACTATTCAAATCTATCACATTCACAAACGAAAAGTTCAACTGAAATAAATTCATCTGAAATAAATCCTTCACCAGCATAATTTAATGTAAAATAAATTAATAATAAACAAGGCTCATGAATCACAATTAATACTTATACTTTTAAAAAAATAAAATTTTTTATAAAAATAATGTGAGTGTATGCGTTTCTTACTGCGTCGCATTGAATTTATAATTTAATTTAGTTCTAAAATGCTAAAGATTCATTTTCATTTTTGTTTCAAAACTGTAAAACCAATAAGATAGAGATAGACATTTTTAAGATAACAAGTTTTATTATATTTTATTAAATTGGCAATAGATCCATTTCCAAATTTGCCCTTCCCTTTTGTTTTGAATGCGTGGGTCCTTAATTGAAGGACTTCAAAAAAAACATAAAATACATAAAGTGAAGTTATTTTCAATGGGTTCATCTATTTTGAAATTTTAATTAGTTTAATCTTTTAGAGGTAAATTGTGAATGTAATAAAAAGTAAGGTATTAATTTTTAAACTGTGATAACTATAATGAGACAACAAAAAATGAATATGAGACCAGAGAGTAATAGATTAAGTGGTTGTGCTTTTTGAATAAGTCCAATTGTAATAAACTAATACCAAACTATACAAATTCATATACCATTCAAAACATTAGATGTCAAGCTACACTAGTTGAAAAAAAAAAAAAAAAAAATGATTAAATTATGTATCTAAGTATGTAGTTCAAAAAAGTTATCATGGAGCCAATCACACTGTGAATCTGTATGCGACATGAAACAACATTAAATCGAGTATGCAACGTCAATAAATTGAGAATTTAACGGTATTGCAATGTTGCATCTAGTACACCGAAGATGGCATGCATCAGTTCAAACTGCCTCAGTGCCTGGACTAGAGGACTGGTTTTTATGGCCGAGGCATCACACAAGTAGCAAATATAAGTTGCAATCGTGTGGGACAACATACAGAAGAAGAATGCATAAAAACTAAGTAAATCAAGACACCTAAACAACATTCCATTAACTGAATGCAAAACCATTGATAATAATCATTAAACTGTGCACATCTTCCACAGTAGAAGTCAGAATGCTGTTGAATCAAAAAAGAGCAAAACAATTAGGAACAATGGAACAAAAAACGTTAATTATGCCGGCCCAACTCCAAGCTCCTCGAGTACGTGTGACCTTTCGTTATTGTGTATACAAAAAGAATATATCCATTAGCCTGTTAAGATAGAGATACACCTGCCTGGTTTGGATCATTCAATTATGATTGGGCATCCATCAATCACTTCCACGCAACCGAGTCAATCTCTTCTCTTGCTGACTTGTACAGCTCAAGCCTCTTGGCTATTGTCTCTCTTCTTTCCATGAGTGATGAGTCCTCGTCCAGCATTTTACCAAGTTGCTCCTTCTGCACATACAACAGGACAATATATTTTATTTTTATTCAAGAAATACAACCCGTGTCGACAGTGAGATTGAAACCGCTGTTCCACTTAACCTTATCCATTGTTTTTGCAAACAACTTTAATTGCCATAAAATTAATAAAAGCTACTACTATGTCAGCTTTCTTGCCTTCCATTCAGTTGTCAAGAAGACACGAGAAGGAAAGGAATTAAAAAGGACGAAAAACGTACAAATTCTCAAATTTATCTTCAAAGTCATCCTTCTTCATTTTCTATACAATCAAACAAAATTCCACTGCTTTAGAAGTGCTTAAAGCACTACCTAAGTGCTAGGCTGCTACTCGTGCAAGCTTACGACCCAGTTTGTTTCAAACTAATCTCTAGTTTGCATCTCAGAAACACTTAAATTCTTGCATGTTTTCCTATTAATACATAAAAGATGAACTATTGGACCACAAGCAGGCACAACCTTGCAGTTTTTATTTTATTTTATTTAACCATGGCAATGTAACTCGGACACTCACTTTCTATCCCTAAACTTATACCCTTGACCTTTCACTTCAAGTTATCCTCTATTTTACTATTCATATATATATATATATATATATATATTTTTTTTTTTTTTCCTGAATAATTTACTATTCATATTTACTTGTTAATGCATGTTCATCATATTAATTGAGCATATTCAATGAAGATGTACAGTGGGTATACAAGCAATAGGAGCATACTTATAATACTTCAACGGGATTGGAGAAGTATGAAGTCATATTCTAGAAACTCTACACCATTGAAATGTATCCATGCTAGAGCAAGTAGATTTCAAAGAGGATGTGAAGAGGATGATAAGAAAGAAGAAGCATCAGCCTAAATAATCAGGATGTCTTTAGTTAAAGCAAAACAATTTGTTGATTTTTCTGTCTTTTTATTTTTTTCCCCTTAATTTTTGCCTTTAATAGATAATAGGCAACATCAAACTGTTGATGAGTTATTAACTTATTTGTCGCCCTATAAAGGCAAGATTCATCTTATCAAAATTCCCATATGAAAGCTCATGCAAAGGAGATATAAAATAAAAACGAAAACAATTGGAACATAAATATGTGGACATCCTAAAATAAGATTAAAGAAACTTCACCTCCCTCCTTCCAATTTGAGCATAAAAGTGGTTGAGCAGCGCTCTCTTGGCCTCTCGGACTTGACAATAAACGACAGCCTTGGGGATAGAATTCTTAAGTGTATCACAAACCATACCAACATAAGCTGTGACATTTGATCCTGAGAGGAACAAGGCGACATACTTCATAAGTTGCACTCTTTTCTCTTTGTTGTAAAGGTAAGCATCTAAAATGAATCACTTTGACCCTTGAATAATGAACTGTTTTTAACATTCATTTTAGATTAAAAAGGAAGCTAATGATAAGCCATTGGACAATACTTGTTGACACAAGAAACATAAAAAGATAAACTAAAAACAGGAACTTGTGATATAGAAGAATAATTTAACACTTTAACCCATATGCTACTCCCAATTGCTAAATCATGGATCTTTGAACAGTTTATTTGTAGACAGGGAAAGCAGATAACTGCATACCTATCCTCCTGAAATGGTTTTCCGAGTATCGGTCCAAATTTGGACCAGATGGACCAGATGGATTTGAATTCTTCTCTGGCTCAAGTTGAAGCTTCCGGAAAAATTCTACTGTCAGGTAAGTAGACTCCATTTCCACCAGCCGTAAAACTGTCTTCCGGCTTTCGTCACGAAATCTTTCCAATGATTCATTTGCAGCAGCTGCTATATCAGATTGAAGTGATGGGAATCGCTTTAATTCCTGCAATTTCCATGTAGTAGTGTTAGCAGGAGAAGGATAATTTTTATTCATTCCTTGGAAGCCTGAACTCACTTCATTGGAGCATTCTGCTATGAGTGTGAGAGCATAAAGAGATCAGATACCATACAGAAAATATTATCAGAAAAAAAATTCAAATCTAATTAAAGGCACATTAGACTTAGAAAGAGAAAATAATCCAGGTATATCTTTAAATAGATTTATGTAGTGTGTGCAATTTTTTTTTTTTTTTTTTTGTACTTTCTCACACATATAAGCTTGTTTATTTCTGCTCTACTCTGTACATAAAATGGGAAGGAACCAATTATACTGAAGTTGAAATATACTGTATTCAAAAGTTCATGTGCAAGACTGGGACAGGAGAATGCAAGTGTGATGGTGTAGAGACATATGATGTATCCAAAACGCCTTTAATTATGCATATAACAAAATAGGTAACTCTTAAAATATATGCAGGGTGCCAGGGTTTGACTTTCGGATAATCTATACTACCATGCCACCACTTCACAAACTCTATCAATCAACTGCTATAGCAACACAATAATCAGCATTGCAGCCAAAATTATTGGGTCCAATGAAACAGCAATATTCAATCAACATATGAACTGAACAATCATCAACCTACATATGAAGTTTGAGTAATGACTTAATCTGGTGCATATTGTTCAAGAAATAAAACTTCATTGGCATATCACATGATTTTTCTTAAACAATTATCTACAAACAACAACATTTCAAACTACAAAGTCTTTATTTTTCCTTCATTTGATTCACAGGATGCAAGGTGATACTTTAAGTTTTAGTGTGCCTACGATCAACACTAGCAGAGCACCAACTCTATATACACTTCATTTTTATTGTTTGCACAAACACAAAATATGTTTCTGAAAAAACAACCATTTCATGTAGATTCACACTTCATGATGCTCTAGCAATGAGATTTAGCACACAAACAGTGGAAGGGTGTCCCGTGAAACGAGGTTAAGAGGTGAGCTGGTGAGAAGTTCAACCTAGACAAGGAGAGTAAAGTTTCTTCAAACTTCTTAATTCAAACTTCTTAAGCAAGGATGATATACTGTACCAAAAGGGAAAAAGAAGAAACAAAAAACAATCTCTTACTTGGAATTACACAATAGATGATAGGTCATCATACACTACATAGAAAACTCAACTCTGTTTAAAAGCATGTCCATTTTCAATAAAGCATCATGATTTTCTCACTGCTCGCATTATTTTCTTAACCGTAATCTAATAAAAATCCAGACAAGTCGAAGACCAAGAGAAGTAATTTTCCTAGGACAATTTATGAATCCATACCTAAGTGACATGGATATTTCATAACAAAAGAAGTGTAAATGTCAGTATTATTCACACTGGATGCCTGAGTATTTCAAAGATGTAGAATAAAGTTGAAACGTCATCAACAATTTTAGTTCTATCTACTCATCCTAAGATTAGGCAATGATGATCATCAACAATTTTAGTTCTATCTCCTCATCCTAAGATTAGACATTGATGCTGAATTATCCCTATACCTGTCCAAACTTTTTCTCTTTAAAAAGAAAAAGTTCAAAAAATTATGAAATGAAAAAAACCATAACTACAATTGATGCACATATAACAATATTAAGAATACATATAACCTTTGGAAATCCCTTTTGACTACTTAAATTATTTTTTATGTGAAGGTATTGGAGAATCTCATGATATTACTTAACTTAAGGAATTGGTGGAGTGATTACCATGATGAATTGACAAGAGATTGATGCATAAATTGAACTATGAATTAATTACACAATTCACTTTTTTGTCTCCCTTCATTATTCATCCTCTTGTATTTCCTCAACAATACATATGGATGTCGGATGTCTTGTTGTTAAAAATTTAAGAGAGAAAAGGATAGGCAATGTGTAACTGTTCGGGATTTGCTTGCAATTGGACGTAGGTATTAAAACCATGTTAATTTTGGTATCCATTGTCTCTCTTCACTTTTTTCATTTATTATTATCTCTTCCTAGTTTTCTTGATTGTTTCACATGATACTGGAACAGGGTGATCAGTCCATACTAAAATTTATCTTTCTGTAGTTTTGACTTTTCAGCGAAGGCATTCGCCCAACGCTCTTCCACTCATTCTCTTTTATGGGTACTATTTATTTATTTCTATACTTCAAAAGGAAAAATGAAAAAGTGAAGATAGTGGGAGAAAAGAAGAGGGAAAAGAAAAGGCAAAAAGTATAAAATAAAAAACAACTAGGTATTCAAAGACAGTATTGTATAAGGAATACAACCCAATTTATCACACCTCTGAAGGACGCCTGCTGGCTGATTAAAGAAGTTTATAATCTAGCTATTCTTGTAGGGACACACTTTTTTCATTCTTTGTGCAGGAAGACACGTGAAATTGAGAAGTCCTCGGAGAACAGAGTTTCTAAATATGTGCATCTAAAAGATCTTTCATACTGTGTCCAATGCCGAAGTTAGAGAGTTCTAGAAGGTTAGAGAGTTCTAGAAGGTTTTGTTTAGAGGGAGTTTTTCTCACTGAACTATGTTGACGTTCAATTGTTCATCCATTTCTAGCAATTTGAGGGGGAATGTGAATCCTTTGCTAGATGTAACTCCTGGAAATTAGTGGACCGATAATTGAAATAAATTGAAGAGATGTTTGATTCCATAATTCACTCTCTCAATCAATATATTATTCATCTGGTATTTTATTCACCACATAAATATGGATAAGAGAAAAAAAAAAAAAAAGGGATAAGAGAAGCTAATAGCCAAGATGTAGAACTGTGGGCTTTGTGTGACATGGACCTAGGCATTGCCTGAACCATGCTAAATCTCAGTATCCAACATTTCTCTTCATTTTACTTATTTATCTTATTTCTGCTCTATTTTCTAAAAGATTTTACCAAGGGAAAAGAACCTAAAGTATTTCCGAACCCAACATAACCAAGCATATTGTCAGCACAGGAATGAAAATTTTCTTATTATACAAATGCGATGCATTTGGCTTTATATTAAAACACAAATATCATGTGGACAACATACTCAAGCATCTAAATAAAGAACTAAAAATGATTCCATTGACATACATAACTCTTCTGCAAGCAGTCATTGCAAATCAAAGATTGTTTACCAGTGTTTCTGCAATTGATTTCCTTACAAGTTCTTTCAGAATGAAGTGTACCTGAGGAAAGGAACAAAATATAAGCTATCAACGATAAGTGTAACAAACGAGAACTTCTGTTTCGAAAGATCAGTTCTCTCTATAGAACCAAAAAGTAGAGTATAAAATATCTAAATTTGATAAGAAATGTTGTGTGCTAATCCCTCCTCTTATTATTTTTAATCACTGTGAAACAAGACGACAATCTCCCAAAAGGCACCATAATGGATATAATCTGGAGGAGGAAGATTAGAATTTTAAAATTTTCCACTAACCAATTCCATAAATCCAAACAGACGATATAAAAACAGGATGCTCAGTCAAACATATCCTATTCCCAATTGTATATTTGCCTCATCCATTGTATATGTCCATACCACCTAAGCCTGCTTTCTCTTATTTTATCACTAATAGGTATCTCTTTTAATTTCTTCCTCACACATTGATTATTAACCCTATTTCTTCTACATACTCTCATAATCCATCTCAGTATTCCCATTTCCACTAGATGAACATGTTGTTCCTGCTTCTTTTTTAACGTCGCTTTGTATAAGAGAACCAGCCTACTAACTTTCCAGTAGATTTTTCTTTTTAACTTAGTTAATATTCTTTTATCACAAGGGACAACACTGGCATGTGTTCATTTTGTCCAACCTGCTCCAATCCCACTAATTAGATCAGCATGTATATACATATGGTACACATAACCATGACAAGTCATCTCATTCTCCTATGATAAAAAGCCTCATTGCATTACACTTCTACAATTTCCAGAGCTTGATTTAAATGTAAAATATTCTAGAACAATGCTCAATATGTTAGTTGTGCCTCTAGTCTTCTCCTCTCAACACCACATGTATGCGAGACATACAGTAGGTAATTCCTTAAGTTCTCAATATTTTACTTTTTCATAGTTTTAATCTTTTTCCATATAATATATATATATATATATATATATATATATATATATTGTTTTTGATAAGTAATAATTGAATAAAAAAAGTGTTCAAGAGGGGAACGCATCCCTTATACTTTTGCATATAATATATATATATATATATTGATATATCAGTGTCAGAAGCAAGCCAGATTGACAACCAAATGTCGTAAAGAAGTCTCCTCCATGTATTTAACATAGATTATGGATATGAACATCACATGTTGACAAATGTTTAATGAGTATCGGAGATATATAACTATCTATCCAAGCATTCAATAAAGATATTATTCCTTTATAGAAGTACCCATGCTTAGGGAACCAAGAATGACCGTCATGCCTAGGTTCCCCACAAAACTTTATCCAGTAAGCAATTTTTCTCACCCCAACATAAAGAAAATTGTATATTTTAAAGTTTTAATGCAAGCCTCATTTATCTATGAAAATTTCTCAAAAATATCCATCTTCACTGAAAGGAAAAGCATACCCAGGAAGTCTTCTCTTCTATAAATCTAGTCCACAATAATTTTTTTTTTTTTTACTGAATATGGACAAAATAAGACAACTTTTACTTCAAAATAATTTCATCAACCTCTGTGCTGAAGTACATTTATGTGCAAGTGTAACCCCACCCCCACCCCCACCCCACTTTCTAGCATCACAAAAAAGGGATAAAATAAACACCTGTTGCCATCTGTATGTATAGTATACAAAAGACTGCTTATGGATATAGCATACTAGCTAAAGTAGTCAGAAATTTCTCTTGGACACTATGCAAGCAACTACAAGGACTGAGCAAAGACTCAAACAAAACTTTAAACCAACCAACATATGTTATAGATAATACGCCGGAGTGATCTCTTTAGTATTTTATTGAATGTCAAGCAGAAGTACACGCCCTAGAAGCTTTATCCCCAAGTAAACCTCTAAAAGCTGCTAAAATTTCTTTAAGCCCGAGATCTTACTCTGCAACTAAATTTTAGTTTTGGCACTGAAAGGTCCAGTACACCATACATGGATCAGTACATATTTTGTAAAAAATGAGTTCCTAGGCTTCCTTAGGTATGGAGACATGAAAAAATATACAATTCTTGTTCCTAATGCGAGTTATTTGTTGTCACTAATTTTATCAAACTAGTCTCAAATTAAATTACCTAAACATGGTTTTCCACACAAAGCTAATTCTTCCTCCTTTCTTCTTCATAGTGCAACACAGATCCCTACTCTTTCTTATCAATAGTATAATTTTATTTCATCACCACTTCTAGAGCACAACACCATAGTTACCATTATTGAACTTCAGGCAGAACTTCTAGCGCAAAATTCTAGTATGTTATTTGAATTTCCACGTACAGAAAGCCCTGCAGCAGTACCAGTTTATGATACTCTGTAGTCCATGGATAATGCTCTCTACTATGGTGGAAAATGATTTTGATTATGTTTTAAGCATTTAGTTTAGCAGCAACAACAAGAATCCACCATAAAGCAAAAAGTAGAACTAAACAAAATTATGTGAGAAGTAAAGCACAGATCCACAAAATATTAAATTCAGGAAGAACACCTCTCATGTCTATCACCAAATATCAGTAAGCAGACAGCTCTACAAAAATTTTGAGCAGTCATGCTTATCATAATATAGACACTTCTAACATCTAAAGTTAGAAACTCAAATAGGTAAAGATTTAAGCAGTATTAGACACATTCCATAATGTACACATTATTATCTAACATAAATTGTAACAGAACTCCGACTTAAGAAATTCATATGTTAATAACTTAATACTATATATCAACCAAATGCAAATATTTCAGGTAGGAAACTGATTAGCTAGAAAAATTACAGCATCAACAGAGGCTTCAGCTGGGCCCTTGAAATAGCCAAGAGATCCATCAATTAATCTCCTGTATCCTTGTTCAGGAGCAACCAAATGCGGTTGATAACCATCTGCCTCTGCAATAACTTTCCTAACATTGTGTAGAGAAAGATGACGATCAAATGGGAGCTTCTTTAAAGCAGCTGGTAGTTGATGATCAAAAACACCGTAAATCCGATCACCACCTGGTCGCCTGAAGAAACAACTTATTACCTTGTAACATACTTTTGAAAAAAATTACATTATAAGAAATTGAAAATCTAATCCAAATCAAAGAGATGCCATTATTCAATTACTTTTAAACCATATGATACAAAGGATCATTATCTCCTTCCAACAAGTTCACAGTGTACCAAAATAAATAAGTAAAAATGCTATAATGCCAATACAATTTAGCACTTGCACCACTGTCATCAATACTTTCCTGCTGGGATAATAAAGCAGAATTTGAATAAAACTAATGATCTAACCAATTAGTATGCTGTGCATGAACATAGGCTCCTCATGATGTGTTAAACATCCTATGCAGTAATTGGACTGGGCACTTGTCAACACAATGCATCACACCCATGGACAACACTATGCTGGACACTTCCAATTCGTATAAAGTATTTGTAGATGAGCAACATACATAACAAACATGTGTGCTGATCTGCAACATGTCCTTGTCATGTCTCACTCTGTGAAAAGAATATATGATTTATAGGTTATAAATTTCATTATACTGGTCATATAATATTGTAAATATTAATTTTTATATGAAAAGACACATAGCTATTGTCATTTCCTCACTGTATCCACGTCCTACGTTTTTGAGATTTGTTGTGTCAACTTATCACTTTCATGTCATGTCAGTTTCCCAGTCCATATCCATGTTTGTTAGCTAACCTAGAAGTAGAGGGAGGCTCTACCTATTGGACCAAAGGTCCAAATGCCTTGCTAGCAAAAAAGAGAGAAAGTACATGGCATTACCATGAATGTCATGTATGTTTTAACTTTACAGGTGCCTCATTTTGTCTGGTAAGATACTACTTCTGGAATCCAAGTAATTTGATTTCTGGGCCCCAGGCTTCAACAATATGCACAGGTCTCCATGTAGTTGATAATATTTTTATGAATCACAAATCAGTATGTGCACATCCTAGCAGTGAAGCAAACAAAGGTGCATATATCTATAACTTTTCTGTGAAGCCTAACATACCGAGACAAATTATACACTCCATGTTGCCTACCCCTCAGTTTACTTCTGTAAGTCTATCTGTGATAAAATTTTTATCCCACAGATAGATAATATGCTGAGTTATTTGAAGTCTATCTATCATAAAGAAGTATTACTATGACTAGTAAATTGAGCTCAAACAACATGGAGCCCATAATTGTGACGTTTTGTTAACGAAAAGCACGATTTTCTCTTCTCACTCTCTCTCACTAAAAAAGCAGATAGATATTCACAAGCAAGAAATATGCATTTATAAAATGTCTAAATTGTGCTTCACAAACATGATGAGTTTCATAGATTATTTTGATGCTGACTGCTTGCCAAAGCATCGGCAGTAAGGCCACAGTATTACCAAACTAAGGACATTGATTCTCGTTCTTGACACCTTTTTGAGAAGATTTCCTTTCTTAAGCTAACAGATATTCGAAGTAAAAGCATACAGCATGCTCAACTATTGATATTTCGTGTGTATATACATAGTACGGAAACGCAGAAAGGGTCCAAGGCTGCAAGCATAATAGAGATCCACAATGAGTTGCAAGCCAACATTAGGATAATCTATTCTATGATTTGCAGATCGGCTTCGAACTTGGTTTTTGGTATTCTACAAAATGAAGAGAAGTTTGTTCAGTTTCCTCTTCCAATCCCAATTCATTCTTATGCCTTTGATTCTAGTTCTTAGGTACACCAAATGCTTAAAATGGGGCTAATGTTTTCACATGAAGAGAACAGTAGAAACCAATGCTACTTTTCTCAACACCACCACCTTGGATTCAAGTAAGTAACATTTCTCCATTTAAAAACTTTCCGCCTTGGCTTTAGGTAATCATTCTTCTGACTTCTCCTATGCTTTCTGATACTTCTACAGAAAATAAGCTGAATCTTTCTATAACTATACATGAGTGTGCCTTTAGCTCTTCATGAGTGTAAACATACCCACAGCCAAGCATGGACCCAACATAGGACCAGTGGGGGCGGATGCCCCCACTGGATTTTTTATATTTTCATTTTACACCTCAAATTTTTTAGAATTTATGAAGATACCCCAACTAAAATTACAATTCGCCCCCACTGGATTGTTTTTTTTTTTTTCATTTTACACTTCAAATTTTAAAGAATTTATGAATATGCCCCCACTAAAATTACAATCCGCCCCCCACTGAATTTTGCTTTTTGCACACTATACTTTAAATTTTTTAAAATTTATGAAGAAAACTCCGTCGAAATTACAAATATGGACCCACTATATAAGTTTGCCCCCACAAATTAAAAGGCCACCCCCCCATCACAAAATTTTCTGGGTCCGTCACTGCCAACAACGTAGAAGTAGAGATTACTGGTTTGCATCTCAACTGGCTTAGTTTAACCACGTAGAAGAAGTGGTGAAAAAGAGAGTAGTGAAATTCGGAATTAAAAAGGTGCCAAGTTGCCAACATTCCCAGTACTCTGCAGCTCAATGACACAAGGGCTGGCTGGCTGCAACAAGAGTGCTTCTGAGCAATCAAGTCTGCCCATTAATTAGTCATTAAGGTATAGAACTGTAATGTTTAAGTTTTTATTTTTATTTTTATATATATGTGTGTTAGTGGAGGGACCCACAATTTTGTTTTAAAGTGGTCATTAAGACCACATTTGTGTTTTTGGTTTCTGCATCTCACTCTCTCTTTCCCAGCTGCCCGCTTCCACCTTCCTCTCTGTTTTCTTTTTCCTTTTTCCACTTCAAGGTTTCAATCCTTGATTGCTCCCTCATTTCTTTGTGTTTTTAAGTATCGTTTGAGGCAAAACAAAGCCCGCGACGAGCTCTACGCGCTCATACAAGCAATTTCAGTTTTTGGTCTTCCTAGGGGCTTCGAATTTAGAGACCCAATTTCTAGGGTTTTGCCTATTTTGAGGTAGGGGCATCTTAATCCACTCTAGTCTTGTTCTATTGTGAATTTTACCTCCATGTTGTATTAAATATGCTTAATTTAGAGTTAATTATATCTATGATGGTATTAATAATGTCTAGAGGGTTTTCACGATCTTGAATATGGTTGGTTCATGTGCAAATTATATTTAGTTGTTGATTTCCTATGTCTACTATGTGCTAGCATGCTGAAATTGATGTATGAGAGTATGCTTATTTAAATTGCGCCAAATTTCCCAATTCATGATGTTGAGCTCATATATATATATACATGCACATGCCTAAATGTATTTTGTTGTATCTTAATGTGTTAATAATTACTTGGGAGATGTTGAACATGTTGAATGTTTAATTTTATGATGGAAAATTTTAAATGCCATGACATTGAATGTATGGAACATATATACATGCACATACCATTGGGTTTGCATGAAATGGGAGAAATTGTTCTTGAAATAAATATGGGGAATTTCAGGAAAGTGTTTTTGATAAAATGGTTTTATGCGAAACCCGGTCGCTGCGGGGTTACTAACGGGCCGGAGGTTAATATAGCCTAGAAGGGACTAGGGAGTCGCCCTAGCGTGGTTGAGCTAGCTGGGCCCCATAATGACGCCGCGGGGTTACCAAGGGTCAGGGACACTAGCCAATCCTCCTTTCGTGTCGCGGCGGGGTTACCAAAGGGCGGGCTGTATTAACGTTTGAAAGTGATGATTTTGAGAATGAAAATGGGGAGTGTTATTGACATGCATTGCATTTCATTTCATTGCATTTTCTATACTTGGAATTGACTTGTATGTTGTATTTGATCCCCTACGTTGTATGATCCCTATCTCCCATTGGCCTATGCTTTGCTTGAATTCACAAGGACACAAGATTTGTGTCTTAAGTGTCACCTACTGAGCATATAGCTCACCCTACTATTTATACATTTTTTTCAGGTCTTGGAAAAGAATCGGTGGACGACAACCCACCTCAAGCTTGAGCGATACTAGAAGCTCACTTTTGTGTCTTTTGTATATTTCCCATTATTTTTGCAAAGCACTAAAAGTATAAAGGTATATATGTATATTTTGCAAAACTTTGTCATGTAACCTTGTTGATGAAATGGGAAGGATAATTTTAGTTAAAGTAATTATCGGTGTTATTTGATTGTGTATGATCATATACTGTTGCCGTGAATTCAGAAATTGAGCCATGATAGGTCAAAATTGAATTTAAACAGGGTATGGTAGGCCTATTTTTAGGGGAGGTTATGCCGATTTTTTTGTAAAATTCTTGGCATCAACTAGGGTCGTTACAAGAACCTCTTCAATTTACGATCAGTCTGATGTGGAGTTACACGACAGTACTTCAACCAGTATCATAGAGCATGGTTTGACCTAAACATATAGTCCAACGAGACTACTGGTTTGCATCTCAACAGGCTTAGTTTAGGAACCCACATGACATAATGTTATATCATCTTCTTGCATCTTCCATTATTAGGTTCAAGAGTCTTGCTGGACCTCCTCTTCCATTGACTCCCTAAATTTTGCTTGAACATTCACATTCCACACAAAACACTTGATATCCTCAACTTTTTGGGTTCCTCAACTCCAATGGTTGAGCTACTCTCTTCACCAAAAAAAAAAAAAAAAAAAAAATGGGATCAAGATAGGCCAATCTACAAATACATATGACTTAATGTTATTGTTGGAAATCTTATCTATAAGTTGACTCAACAATTATGGCAGATTTATTGGGTCTTCAATATAGGCTAATTTTTAGGGATTTTATTTTTATTCTGATTTGATTTGATTTGATTTTATTCTCTTTATTTTGATTTGATTTTATTCTCTTTTCCATATTTGTAATTTTCCGCTTGTATATAATGATAGTCAGGCTCTCAAATTGAGTACGTCAATTTTACCAAGTTACTTTTTGGTATCAGAGCCTCAAACCTACGCCTCCCCCATCTCTCTCTCTTTCACCGCCTCTTTTAATATCTCTCTCTATCTCGTTACAGCCCCTTCCCTATTTTTTTTTTCACAGACCTTCTCTCTTTTTCAGGTCGCTGTTGCGACAGTCC